TCTTGGTGTTAGAAAATGCCTGACACATAATAGACTAGAAAAAGGCTGAAATCTGCTGCTAGAACGTGGTTTCCTTTATCTTGAAGTGAACCTTGTATCCCGAACACTGCCCGAGGGCCTACATAAATAGAGGCTGTCTCAGCTGAGTTTACGGGACAACCACGTGGTCGTGTTGGCTGACAGGGGTTTGCATGTGTGACAGAGTCGGAGTGGAAACACATTAGTTCCTGGAACAAGGCACCTGCTGAAAGGTCTGGGGGGCAAGCCTTACACAGCCTTTGCCCATCTCTCATGTGGGAGGCCGCTGATAACCGCGGAAAGAACTTGTCCCGCGTAGCTCACACCTGTGTGCGTGCATCTTCTTCTCAGAATCCCGAGAAGAGGACTTCCATCTTGACTCTGTAACTTAAGAAGGGATGAAAGCAGGCACCGCAGTCCTGCTCAGATGGCTCAGTACTTTTGGCCTTTCCGCTAGTACAGGTGATTCCATTCCGGTTGGCGGGGGAGGGGAACAACCTTGAACCTTGTTTGCTTCACTCTGTGACCTCCTCCCTTTGGCACTTTCGAGTGTGTAACCGAACCAGGGCTTGGCCGTAGGATACTTGCATTCCTAGTCAGGCTAAGTCAGCTACTTCTCCGAGCCAAGGAAGGTGAGTAGCAGCTGGAAGGCTATTCAGAGGGATGGCAAAATGAGCAATTTGAAGTACAACAGCGGAACAAGGTGTCTCCTAAGTGAGAGTCTGGCTCCGGGCCTCGGAGGCCTTCCTTTCAGTGTCTAGGCAGGTGTTCTAAGGACAAGGAGTCTTAATAACAATAACATTTTATGAGCTATCGGGTGCCTTTGATTGTAGCACAGGAAAGTGACCTTTTGGGGAAAATAGCCTATATGCCCTAAATATGAGAGTGGCTAAATAGGCAATGGTATATCCATACATGGAAGTAAACCCATGAGGTTGTTTAAAATAATGAGATAGAAAGAGAATCTCTAAAACATATCATTGAGGGATACCAAATCAATACTCAGTAAGGTTGTAATTAAGCAACCTTCTGATATTTAAGTTTTGTTTGTAATCCTCACCCAAGGATATGTTCATTGACTTTGGAGAAAGGGAGAGAGATAGAGATAGAGAGAGAGATAGATAGATAGATAGATAGATAGATAGAGATGAGAGAGAAATATCGATACACGCCTCCCATACACACCCTGACTAGATATTGAACCCGAAACCTAGGTATGTGTCCTGACAGGGAATCAAACCTGCAACCTTTCGGTGTACAGTATGATGCTCCAACTGAGCCATGTTTTGTTTTGTTTTCATTTTTTATTTAGGTATTATATGTGTACATATTTTACCATTGAGCCATGTTTTAATTTTTAACAAAAACAAATATCTGTATCTATATCTATCTATACTTACATATTTCCTTACATAGGTAAGGAAATATATAAGAAAAAGAAAATGTCTGAGTAGAGGTATCTTAAAATTTGGAAAGATGATATTGTCCTTGGAGCCGAGCCATTGCCCATGAGCACGGGAGGAATCTGGGCATGTCTTTCAAACCCAGGGTGGCCGCATGAAGTGCTTGAGGCCCTGCTTCTCTGCCTCGCAGTTTCTCCTTTATAAGCTGTAAACAGGTTATATTCTGGTCCCGCTGAAATGCACAAATCCTGCAGGCAGTGGGGAAAGGCTCAAGAGGGAACTGGCAAAGCTCAGGGACCACTCCCCTGCTCATTCTGGTCACAGATTGTTAGCACCGGCTGCTCAATGATTGTAGCACCAACGGGGGCTTTATTGTCTCAGTTCATCTTGATAAGAAAAGGTTATGCCTACTCCTAGGCTAGCATAAAGCCAAGTCTACACATTTTGGGATTTACCCCCTAGGGGAACTTTTACAGATAGAAGCTCCTTAAAAACAAGTGACAGTGAAGTGTCTTAGTTCACTGAGAAGGTTTGTTTGCAATCTCTATGAATAATAATTTGAAAATACTTTTGTCTTATGTGTTGCTTGGGAGCTAAATGTCTAACTGTACCTAAATCCTCTCGGATTTTGTGACAAATGGTACCAACATGGGGGGAAGAAGAGGCCAGGTGGTGATTTTGCCAGCCCTGAGGGTATCTGAGAATCTGCCCAGCTTGCTCCCTTTTTTAAGTTCAGCCCGTTCCATAAACCCTTCCTCAAGTGCCATCCTCTGAAAGTTTTCTTCAGGACTTCCTGGAGCCATCTGTACAGAACCAGCCAGGACTGAGGGGATGATTAAGTGACTAGCGGAGGGAATGGGCCTGGTGAGCCATCCTACCCACTTTTACTTGCATTCTCTCAGGTGATCTGAACACTGAAGAGTCTTTTCATCAGTTTTGGTTGGGCCCTGAGTGGGTCTAGGTATGAACTGGCCTAGAAAATCTGCTCTGAGATCAGTGATTCTCTGCTTTTGTTGGATCGAATGAAAACTCTTAAGCCTGCATCTACCAATGAGTTGTGTATCTACAGCAAGTTACTTAATGTGCCTGTTCCTTGGCTTCCTTTCTGTAAAGCGAAAGTATTGGTCATACTTGAACTTTGAGGGCACTAATAGCTCTAGGATTCCATCTTCAAGACTCATAAACAGACCCTGGCCAGGTAGCTCAGTTGGTTAGAGTGTTGTCCTAATACACCAAGGTCATGGGTTCGATCCCCAATCCCAGAACATAGAAGAATCAACTAATGAATGTAGAAATAAGTAGAACAAAAAAATCTCTTTCTCTTTGCCTCTCTGTAAAATAAATAAATAAATAAATAATAATAATAACTCTTAAATAATCCATGACTCTCCCCCCAAGATAACTCCTACCACTCCCCTCAGGTTGAGTGTGACCTAGGACAAAAAAGCATAAGAAATGGTAGGAAAAGTTTAAATGGCCTCTTCTTACATAAAGAGACCAATGAACATGGTAACAGCTATTGCCACCTCAAAGAAAACACCAGGAAATTTTCTTTAGATAAAACTCCTTTTGGAGAGAACATTAGGAGATCAAAGCAGACATAGGGGTTACGGGGAGGGTCCCTCTCTGCCAGTGTTTAGTTTGGGGAGTCAATGTTTCATTCAGAAAGTTCCAGAGAAACCATCGGTGGGCTAATTAGAGAAGGGGCAGGAGAGAATGGCAGCCAGGTTTGTTGACTGGGTAAGTTTGAAGGCGTATAGACTCAGAAAGGTCACTATAACATCCTAATTAGCACTCCCCTCATTAATACTCTTTCCTCTTCCTTTGTTTCTTTTGCTAAAAAAAAAGTTGGGGGGGAGTTTTAAATGGCTTTGAGATAGTAACTCATTTCTCCTTTAACTATTAAGAGGCATATATATATTTTAATCCTCTCCCAAGGATATTTTTTCTATAGATTTTCAGAGAGAGAGAGAGAGTGGAAGGGAAGAGAGTGGAGAGAGAAGTGTAAGGGAAGAGAGTGGAGAGAGAAGTGTAAGGGAAGAGGGTGGAGAGAGAGAGAGTGGAAGGGAAGAGGGTGGAGAGAGAGAAAGAGAGAGGGAGTGGAAGGGAAGAAGGGAGAGAGAGAGAGAGAGAGAGAGAGAGAGAGAGAGAGAGAGAGAGAGAGAGAGAGAGAGAGAGAAGAGAGAGAGAGGAGAGAAGAGGAGAGGAGAGGAGAGGAGAGGAGAGGAGAGGAGAGGAGAGGAGAGGAGAGGAGAGGAGAGGAGAGGAGAGGAGAGGAGAGGAGAGGAGAAAGAGAAACATCAATGTTTTGAAACATCTTTCAAAAAATGACTGGTTACCTCCTGCCCATGCCCCAACTAGGTCTAGGGATGGAGTCTGCAACCCAGATACATGCCCTAGACCCGGAATCAAACCCGAGATCCTTCTGTGTGAGGACTGACTCTCCAATCACTGAGTCACGCCGGTCAAGATGAGACCTAAAAATTTTCACATAACGTGGCACCTCAGAGACAAGAAACCTGAAACATGTCTGCCCAAAGCATAGCTCTTTGCTTCTCTGACAATGCATCTCAAACTCTGATGCAGCCCAATGATCTGAGTGCTTTGAAGATACAGATTCCTAGGGTCACCATAAATGGGCTCTGTTGCTCTGAAGAGGAGCCCAGGGGTCTGCATTTTTTAGAAGCTCCCATAGGTGTCTTTTACTGACAGCCTCTGAGAACTTTGGCTCTGTGACCTAATCAAGGTCATACCCTGGCAAATAATTGGTCTCATAGAATCTATCCCCGGGCCATTTGGATCCTTTTTGAATAAAAATTGCTCCAGTAAGTACGCTGTTTCAGAAGACAGTAAGTGTGTCTGTCATATGCTAATTATGGCCAATGACGCCACGAAACAAAAGTGCATTACTGAATGCTTTCAATTTCTTATAATGGTGGCAAGAAGACATGTCATGGGGCCTTTTTAGCCCCAGACATCACTCTAGAGAATTCCAACAGATATAGACAGGGGCCATGAGGACTCGGAACCTTTCCTCTTAGGCTGTTTACCCACGGGACTAGGGTGTCCTGAAGTAACACTTCCCCCAAGTGAAGTGCCGATAAGTCCGCTTATCAGAAAGATATTACCGGGAGTGTGATGTGCAGGGTTTTTACATTTTCCTGATAGAGTTAGTCATATGAAAGCTGACAAAGAAGGCGAAAGAGCAGTGTTGTGGTGCAATATCAGCAGGCAGCTGTCCCCCGGCTTCCCGATAGATAGGATGACTGGCATTGCTGAGCGGTGCGGTCACTGCCAAAGGAATGGCCCTCTCACATTTCCTCTTGATTCACATATTCGGCGGGGTTGCCTGTCATCTCCTCCCTCTTCTGCTTCCCAGACACTGAGTCTGGAACGAAAATTCACCTGCCTCTGAGCTGGCCGCGGGTGGGGGCGGGGTGTTACTTGGGCTCCCAGGTTGGAAGATTATCTCACCGGACCCTGGCTATATAAGCTGCCCCGTGAGGAGGAGCCCAGCAGGGCCGACAAGGAGGGATTCATTCTGCAGGAGAAAAACATACAGACACACTTCAGGCCAGCATGATGATGCTGAAAGTGGAAGAGCTGGTACGTAAGAGATGTTATTTTTTATGCAGTGAAAATTGGTTTTAATTTGAAAATGAAAATGTCCTTTTTTCTTTCAGGCATAATGCACAGGTATATGATGCACAGTGAAAATGTCATATATGGAAAACGGTTGGGTTATGTGATAAAATGAGTGACACTGGGAAAATGGAGCTGGGAGCAATGAATTTTCTACACGTTACTTATTTATTACCTTTTCCTTTTTGGTTTTATTACTAAAGTGTACACTCACAAGCCATTATCAATATGCTTTAGGGAAGAAGGAAGCTCTAGGGAAAGAACACGTGTCAGAAAACTTTTCAACTCAAGGCCAAGAGTTATCAAAAGTAGTAAGATGAAAGAATTTTTTAAGTATTCAGAGGGGGTGGTTTTGATTTTTCCCAGGAGACATGTAACTCAGTGGATGAAGTGGAATTCAGCATATCAGTCTAACCTAACCCTTGATTTAACTATGACAGCAGGACAAGAACCTGGAGGTAGTCCTGGAACATCGCAGCAATGGGTTACCCCTGAGATCTGACAGTTGCCCGGGACGGCTGTTGCCAGGGAGGACCAGGGCCTCCTGCAGCATCCTCCGCAGAGGATGACGCCAGGACACGCCCTGCTGCTCTGACGGGCCATCCTCTTCTCTCTTAGGTCACCGGGAAGAAGAATGGCAGTGGGGACGCTGGGGAGTTCCTCCCCGAGGACTTCACAGATGGAGAGTATGAAGCTGCTGTTACTCTGGAGAAGCACGAGGACCTGAAAACACTTCCGGCCCACTCAGTGAGCCTTGCTGAGCAGCAGTGGAAAATTGAGAAACAGCGAGAGGCAGAGGTAAGAACTTTCCATGGGATCCATTAGTGGGAGGTTGGGGAAAGCGCAGGGAAAAGGAGGTGCCAAGGAGGATAGAAGCAAGGAGAGAAACAAAATAAATGCCACCAGCCCAAAGATGTTTCAGATCAAATATGAGTCCCCATAGAGACAACTTCTATGGGATATGTTGTGGGAAAGAATTATTTGGTGAGACTATGTCTTCCAGATTCGGAATCAGTGATGGAAGGTTCTTTGACCATGTTCTGATTGAAAGACTCGGAAAGAGAAAGGTGTCCAGTGAATTTCTGATCTCACATGCATCTAGTTAATCCTTCTTTCTCTCAATAACGTGGTTTGTGGTATAAGGATCATTGTTTGACTGTGTCTACTGTCTGTGTTGCTAAGATCTGTGTTCCTGGGTGAATTTTCATTGCTTACTAATCACAGATAAAACATGCATTAGTTAGCTGTAGCCCTTGGACAGTCTGTTTCATAGTCCCTGCTTACTGGGCCACCTGAAAGAGATTGGCATTGATTTATTTCAAAGCTTAGCACTCATTATTAGATTATTTTGGGGGAAAAAAATTCTTGAGTATAATGAAAACATTCGACAGAAATCTGCGGCTTGTTTATGGCAGTAATTACAAAATCATCACTTCGAGACTAGATCCTATCTCCAATTAGTCAAAAGCTGATTCTACTTGCAAGATAAGTGAAGCTGAAGGCGATTAATTAAAAAATCAGTCCCCCCACATCTTCGAATAAGAAATGACTAAACTGAAATCAAAGATTTATTTATTTTTTTCTATTCTTTTGCTCAAGCTGTACGCATACTTATCTCAGAACTTGCAGGTTTTGTTTAGACACCATCAGAATGCTTGTCAGTAGAACTCAACATATTTTGAAACACAGATTTCTTTTTTAGCTCAAGAAGAAAAAACTAGAACAAAGATCGAAGCTTGAAAATTTAGAAGACCTTGAAGTTATCATTCAACTGAAGAAAAAGAAGAAATACAGGAAAACGAAAGTTCCGGTTGTAAAGGACCCTGAACCTGAAATCATTGTAAGGGCTTTTAGGCTTTGTAGTCTTACATGCCTGGCGTGTGTGCTACAGGGGAATCAACCCGTGGAGGGTTTGATTGAATGCTGGGCCACCCCTGGGTAACTCTCACCCTATTTTGGCTTTAGACAGAACCTGTGGATGTGCCCCGGTTTCTGAAGGCTGCCCTGGAGAACAAACTGCCAGTAGTAGAAAAATTCTTGTCAGATAAGAACAATCCAGATGCTTGTGATGAGGTAAGGCGTGCACAAAGCACTGCAAAACCCAGCTCATTAATTTTGTGTGTCTTCTGCTGTACTGCAGCCTTGCTAATATGGTGCCAAAAATCAATCCACCTGAAACAGCTTCCCCAGCTGTTGCCACATATGTCAGCTGCATAACAGAAGAGTACAGTGGTCCAACCTCCCCCTGCTCCCCCCCACACACACCACACACACCACACACACACCACACACATACACACAAACCTGGATTAGTGCTACTGACTGAATACATTTTTGCATACATATATTTCTGGCTGATTTTTCACAAACTAGCCTTTAACTTCTTAGATCCTTGAGATAGGCTTTTAATAAGGACAGGCCAACAAACTACCTTTGCAGAAATAGAGTGTCCCTCCAAAAATGTATATACCCTTTTTTCTGATAGCTCCATGGATGTTTCTTTCTTTTCAGATTTAACCCACTGGAGTTAATAATTATTCAAAGTGTCAATGCATTTTAGGGGACACCCTGTATATACTTAGCATCATCTCTGATTGGACCCAAACACATCAGCTCTAGGTGGGACGTTCAGAGACTAGTGTTCACATGCCAGTTCTATCTCTACTTTGCTACTTGATTTCTGGCAGCTAATCTGCATTTTCTCAATCTCTGTTTCCTTATCTGTAAAGAGGGCACTGGAGTGAAATAATGCCTAAAGTTGTTGCAGCTTTAATAAGTCTAATTCACCTATTTGTATGAAGCCAGTTTACCAGAAAATCACTAATCCTTTTTGTATTGAGAAATGTAAGTGGGGAATCATTTCTGAAGTTGAACTAAAAATGAGTGCTCCCATTTTCTTAAATGAATTGAATACTGTTTGATATTTAACTTACCAACAGTCCCAGATGAAAGAAAACTGTCTCATCTGCATGATAAATAGCACACAAGCAATGAAGGTGCAAAATACAACAGAGGGAAAAATCAGCATTTAGGTCAACTTGAACCTTCAAGTTCACATCCCAGTATGTAGACTTCTAGGCACTTAGAAATGTACTTTGCAGGAAGCACAAATCTCAGTTGCAGGATAATTGCTCTAGTTCTGCAATTTTAGTGAATTTAACATTTCTAATTCATAAAGAAGCACTCCAGTTTCTATCAATTAGGTCATCCGAGTCCCGAGATTCATACCCACTAGAAAGGATTTATGCACATTTTTATATGCATTTCTCCCTTTGAATCTCTATCCTGACAGTATAAACGGACAGCTCTGCACAGAGCATGCTTGGAAGGACACCTGGCAATTGTGGAAAAGTTACTGGAAGCTGGAGCACAGATCGAATTCCGTGATATGGTGAATATATTTCTTCGCTTGGAAATAAGCCAAAATGTATAGACTATAGGAAGCTTAAGAAAAGCTAAAATAAAACACTGGGCTGACTGGATTGGAAATTGATCTGAGAGAACTAGGGCCAGAAGCTATTTCTCCACACAAGAGATGGGACTAGGTCATGTGGAAAGTATTTTCTATACATACTGAAAAGGAGAGAAGTGTTCCAGAGGAAAGGAGGAAGTGAAGGCTGTTGGGCAGAATTCAATATCCTCATCAGAGAGCTGGGTCATTATCAAGTCAGTAGCATTACTGAGAAGTAATACAGTCGACACTCGCCTTTCAACATCCCCGCCCTCCCATTATACACGGCAATCTGCGCGCGGCCCCCGGGTTGCCGGCAATGAATCAGAATTCTCTCGCTGCATGCCTTCTATGATAGATGCCTACTGCCATAGACGTGATTTGGGGCTAGGCTGCATACTAAATGAATTGCATCTATGGAAAGCAGCTGCTTTTCAGACCTCAATAATTCAACACTGTGATTTCTACAAAGACCAGTATACAGCGGATTTTATGAACTGAAATTGAGCTGGAAAATGCTTTATTTATTTAAATGCAGCTCAATTTGACTTGAGAGCAAAGTGGGAAAGGTACATGAAGAGTACAAAGGATTTGGCCAAAATTGAACCCAAAAGACACACAGGAAAACAATTAAAGAAACAAAAAATGAAGTTAGCATGTTAAGACACTAAAATCCGTGAGTGTGAGATGTGACAGGCAGAGACAAACCACAGAGCAGCAGAGGGGCCCTCTCTGAGTGTGCAGCATGCAGGGACCACAAGGGATGACGGTGAGGTGCAGAGACTATGCTAGCACAAAGGAGACAAGAATGGGCAGGAGATAAGAAACAACAGGGGCTCAGGAAGAGGTGTCAGATCCAAGTTAAAATCTTTTGGATGGGTCCCCTTTTATTCTGCCAGAATTTTGAGGTACACTTTTTCTAGAACTTTTGGGCATTTGTATTTGGCAAAAGTGATTAAAAGTGGGTTTGTGTATCTATCCTGCCATTCACTGGCTGTGTGTCCTTAGGGAACAAACATGACTACTGTGGAGCCTTGATTTTCTCATCATGAGGAAATTCTCAACCAACTGTAGTTCTTATTCTTCTTAATACATATTTACTAGACTAAGAGCCTCCTAACGATGCACATGACAGACGCACACATAGGCATGCATATACTCCCGTTCGCACACATGGAGTTTAGATAAAACATTTGGCAAAGAGCCTTCAACAGCAACAGTTGGAATTGGGGATCTAGACGGGGACAATCACTGCTACCAGACGTAAAAGCAGGTATGCCTGGGCCTTAGCCACCAAGTCCGCACTGATTCCTCTGACCAGACTCTTCTTTGCCCTAAGTCATGTCCTTTTACCTCCTGGGTATAGCTGGAATCTACAGCCATCCACTGGGCAAGCCGTGGAGGAAATGTGGATGTCTTAAAATTGTTGCTGAATAAAGGAGCGAAAATCAGTGCCCGGGATAAGGTAAATCTCCTCTTGCAGCCCTGCGCCCGCCCCGTCCTATTCCCTCCCCCCCCTCCCCCTTCCTTCTCCCTCTCCCCCTCTCCTTTCCATTCCTCATTTCCCCCTTCTTCCCACCTTTGCCATCTGCTGGGAGCCCATGCAGGGTGTGGGGTACCATAGTGACCACTCCCCCGCCTCCCCACACGCCTCGGGGTCTGGGACAGCCGGGTCCTTTCGCCCAGCAAATCACCCTCGTTCTTCACTCTCCCAGCTGCTCAGCACAGCGCTGCACGTGGCCGTGAGGACCGGCCACTACGAATGCGCCGAGCACCTCATCGCCTGCGAGGCGGACCTCAACGCCAAAGACCGAGTGAGTAGTCAGAGTTTACTCCTTGCTGATTTGGGATTGCTCCCCAAGCCGATACCCACGGCACCCACTTCTGTCCTCGGGCCCCCCTTCAGCGTGGTCACTCTGCTTCTCTAGGAAGGAGATACCCCGCTGCACGACGCCGTGAGGCTGAACCGTTACAAGATGATCCGACTCCTGATTATGTACGGCGCCGACCTCAACGTCAAGAACTGTGTAAGTGCTCCAAGCAAGGGACCCTGCCTGCAGGTTTTCCCATGGATAAAACCATCTTGGAAATTGTCCCACAATGCATTTCAAGGGTCGTCTCTGATGATTTCAGTGCCCCCGTTGGTCCATTCCATCCCCGCTAACCTTGGCAGACTCGGGTCACCTGGTCAGAGTTGGGGAGAGCTATGACTTCAGTGTCTACTATGGTATCTAGTAATTCTTTTAGAATGTGGTCTTGAAAATACAAGATGGTCCAATTGCTCGCCTCCACGGACACAAGTGCAATCTGCTGTGATCATCCTGGCTGAGCATGGCCTGGGGTTGACAGGAATAGCCATCACCTTCCTGAAGTGGTCTGATTCCACAGTGGTCAAGGCAGCCAGAGCTGGTGAACTCAAATCAATCAATATCCAATCCCAGGAATTCCTCCCTTCTGACAACAGCATTGCATGCTACCAATTTCTTCCAGGGGCCGCTGTACTGCTGCCTATATTTTTGAGATAATCTCCATCTATTTTCCGCTTTGGCTTATCTGCACATCCCTCAAAAATAATTTCCTATATTTAGGCCTCGAAAATGCTTGTATAAGTTCCCTTGACAAGTATGTATTAAGTTAGCTTCATCTGTAAGCAGGGATTGAAACCAACTTCTCACGGTCCCAATTCCCAGGCAAACATCATCTAATATAAGTTTTAAAAATATCACCCAGAGGAAGGGGTGTAAATTACTGAAAAAAATAACTTGAAAGCTTTTGGAGAATTGCTTAAAAAAAAGGAAAAGAAAATCCCAGTGATCATATAATGTGAATTATTTCTTCTCCTTATTGTATTACTATGAGACTGAGAGGAATATATTATCATGAAAACAATTGGCTTGATGATTGGAACAAAGGATAAATGCAAGAAATAGAGACTGCTGCTTGGGGTGAGAAAGCCTAAAAGAAAGAATTCCCTCATCCCTGATTTTGGGATTGGTTTTATCTAATAATTTAAAATATCAGAAAAAAAGTTGATTCAAACAAATCTCCAAGCTGCAGAAAATACTTCCCCCCCCCCCCCCCCCCCCCAGACAGTGAGACACTACCCGCAGAGATAAATAGCATACAGATTGGGGTGACTGTGTAACTAGGCAGAAAATCAGGAGATAGATTTCAATAGAGAGGAGTGCCAAGAATTTATGGAATAGCCAAAAAAATACAAATAGGGCTCAGAGTTCTTTATATCAGTGAGACCCAGGCATGCAGGTTCTCAAACTATTCATGTCACTGACCCAATGGGCCAGTGTTCCACAAAAGACCAATAAGCTATTGGAAACCATCTTGGAAGGGGTTGGAAACAACACACAACATGTTATTGTATTGTTGTCCAAACTGTCTTCATGTCTGCTGATAAGTGTTTCTCAAGACAGATGCGTGAGAAGTTCCAGAGTGAAGGCTACAGGGCTACTAATTCAATCTGCACAGGGGCAGGCGGATCATATAAATAACATAAGTGGTGGCTGCAGGAATCTGTGCACAACACTTTGCTTTGCAAGGTGGAGACTCTTCCCAAATCCAGCCCATTGTTGCTCTGCAGAACCAGCCTCATGCTGCCAGCTCTTCTGATTTTTTTCCCCAGAGATCACAAATTCAGTTGGGAATAATCTCTTATTTTCCAACTGTTGACAATTAATTCCAATGTACAAAACACATACATACACACAAAACCTAAGCTGTTTGGGCCAACACAAAACAGGCCTCTAGACGGATTTGCATCTCAAAGCTTCCAATTCGCAATCTCCATGTTAAAGAGAGACTTCTGAATGCATAGAGGCAGAAAGTTTTCAGATGTCTCCTATTTAAAGACAAGAATTGAGAGATGACATAATTTTAATTTTCTGTGATATCTTGAGTCATTCGAAAGAAAAAGAATTTTGGCATCAAAAATTATTTATTCGCACATGTCACTGATGTCACCTCCAGAAAAGAAAACTTTGCTGGGAGAGAGCTCGGTGTAACTGGTTGCGAAAAATCTACCCCCTGGAGCAGTAATAGTTCTGAGCATTTCCTGAGTAGTTAAGCCAAGGCGTTGAAGCAGCTGGGTTCCCACCAGTTCTTATCAATCAAGGAGTCATTTTACAAATTGATAGGAACTGGGGATTTTTATTAATATCGGTACCTGAAATGGTCCTGCAAGGGGGGGGGGGGGGAGCGGAAATGCTAATCTGAAATGCCAAAGGCATTCCCATGAGAAACAGTGAAAGAATGGTTTGAATAAAAATGGCAAATCACTCACAGAAGAAAGCATAACACACTCCAGTAGCACACACCCATCCATTACCTCGTTAAACATTCCTTGAGAGAGGATGTGAATGTATAGATGCCTCCCATCTGGAAGTCAAATTGCCTCATCTGTTTTGATTAGGCTGGGAAGACCCCGATGGACCTGGTGTTACGCTGGCAGAATGGAACCAAAGCGATATTTGACAGCCTCAAAGAGAACTCCTACAAGACCTCTCGCATCGCTGCCTTCTGAGACACGTCTGCGGACTTTCTTCAGCTGCTCCTCACCGGAGGCGTTGGGAAGGCACGGCCCCAGAGAAGAGCAACTGTTAGAAAACCCTGCTTCTCATCAACCTACGATCAGGCTGCACCTTACGAAGTTTTGAGAAAGCATGGGGACATAGGCATTGAAATTTCCCTTAGAAGCGACCCACTCTATTTATTTGTACCTATTTCTGTGTACTTATTTATTTATTCTTAAGTGAACTCCACTATCACTGACACTCAGATTCTTTACGCTCATCTGCTTGGCGGGCAGAGCTTGATTCGTACACAATGCTCCAGAGCCTTCCCATAGATAGCACATAACCCACGCCAATAAGCAGTGCTCGGTGGCTGCCTATGTGTCACCTCACTCACGTAGGGTATTTCAAGGTGTTTTTAAGAGACAAAGGTGATTATTGCCGCCCTCTTTTCTCCTGAGTTTTTACTGATGAAGTCTGAGGCGATGGAAAAGCATAGAGGGAAGGAAACAGTACCATGGAAGAGGACAGGAAAGCCAGCCATTTCCCGGCTGGGCCCGGTATTCCGGACCAAGTCGCGCACTGTGCTAAGGTGAAGCGGATGTTGTGAGGGAGAGCGGAGTGCAGTGGAAGGAGTGGACAGTGGGGCCATGCAGAATGAGATTTGCTCAAAAAAGATGAAAGCAAAGGCAAATTGTAAATGTGTAAATGTATCTTATGTCGGATGTATATTTTATATTCATAATAAAAGCAAACACATTCTAAACCTCTTTCTAAGTACTTCTGTACGTGAAAAAGGCCATTTTGATGGGGTGTTGTTGTTCCTCCAAGTTCTTCAGAGTAGGACTGCCCTGTAGGACAGTATTTCTCAGTAGTTAACATGTATGTGGATCCCATGAGGATCTGAGAATGCAGATTCTGATTCTGCCAGGTTCAGACTGGACCTGAGGTTCTAGAGGTGGTGGTATGCCACCACCACACCTTGGCCTACAAGGCTTGAAAACTACTGATACAAAGGCATGAGTTCTTGCCTGGCCCTGGTGCTCAGTGGTTGAACATTGATAAACCTAGATTCCTGATCAGGGCTTATGCCCAGTTGCAGGTTTGATCCCTAGTGTGGACCGTGCAGGAGGCACCGATCAATGATTCTCTCATCATGGATGTTTCTCTCCCTCTCTCTTCCTCTCTGAAATTAATAGACACACACACACACACACACACACACACACACACACACACACACACAGTTCTTTTGGCCCCAATGATGGGGAAAGAGACCCTAGTGGGCAGAATGTTTACTGCATGCTAAACAATGCTCCTTAAGAAGTTCCACCAGGAATGGACTGAGGTTTAACCATTATTGTGGACAGCTCTGGCAGTGTCAAAGGCCTCCAACAAAAAAACACACACCTGTTGAATAACTTCCTGCATGCAAGGGTTTTGTTAGCAAGGTGTTGGACCAGGTGCTAAGACCTGTGATGAGAAAATTCGGTGAATACTAAGAAATAATCACAGAATCAAATTATTCCCATTGATTTTTTTTTTTTTTTTTTAGCGAGTGGAAGGGAGGGATTAAGGGGTAGGGAGAGAGAGAAACATCAATGTGAGAAACATCGATTGTTTGCCTCTTCCACACATCCTGACAGGGACAGGGTATTGAATCTGCAACCCAGGGTACACGCTATTCTCATATTTATTTTTTCAAAACAACAAGTCTAAAAACCAAGCACATACACAAGCAAACAAAAACACGTAAGACACTTTGTTTGTATTTTGTTAAATTCATTCAGTTTAGGGGAGAATTTGATGCATACTATCTCCTTATCCAAGAAAAAAAAGAATGTCTCCAATCATGTATTCCAGTCTTCTTTAATTTCCCTTATTTTCATTTAACAGTTTTCTTCATAGACATCCTACACATTTCTTAGTAATTTATGTCTTTATGAATAGGATCATCATTTAAAATAGTATTTTATAAAGCACTAGATGCCCAGTGCATGAATTCATGCACTAGTGAGGTACCTTGGCCTGGCCTGCAAAATACGGCCAAAAACGGTTCTCTGACATCCTTTGAGGGGTCCCAGATTGCGAGAGGGTACAGATCAGGCTGAGGGATCCCACTGGTGCACCATCGGGGCCAGGGAGGGGCATGGGAAGTTGGCCAGCCAGGGAGGGACCACAGGAGGCCTCCAGTGCATATCCAGCCCATCTCACTCAGTCCCAATTGGCTGGACCCCAGCAGCAAGCTAACCTACCAGTTGGAGTGTCTGCCTCCTGGTGGTCAGTGCACATCATGGGGAGCAGTTGAGTGGCCTTAGCATATCATTAGCATATTATGTTTTGATTGGTTAAATAGCCAACCAGTCAACCAGACACTTAGCATATTAGGCTTTTATTATATAAGATTATTGTCAATTAAAACTATTAGCTTCTGTGTATTTATTTTATAACTGACCTCTTTGATGAACTTTTATTAAAGGTAGTATGGGTCATTCTGTTTCAACTGAATCAGTAGTGGTTCATGTTCTAACAAAAGCACACATTGGAAACCCACTGGCTGTTATTCACTGGTGACCAACCATCATGCCCTAGTAATTTGAATGAGATAAGCACATATTCCTAAATAGAAAACAGCACAACTGTAAACATATAACAGATTTGTAAACTAAAAGGGACGTGTATTTCTAATCTTTTCCCAGTTGCTTCTCTCGTTTTTCAAAGGCAGTCACATCTGCAAAAACTTTACCCATTAAAGTCCTCAATACTGTCTCTGGTGCAATTCACACACACACACACACACACACACACACACACACACACACACGCGCGCGCGCACACGCACACACACACACACACACACACACACGTGAGCTGAAAAGCAGATTAAGCATGGCATAAAAAAAAAAGTTGACTATACATCCCGTAAACATTTCACTTCAGTGTAAATTGTAGAGAACTACACTCACGTGCGCCAACCTTTTAAAGAAAGGTCAAAGCCTGTTCTTGGGAGTATGGATGCACTGATGAGAGATCCACAGCTGCCCTTTCAGTTCCAGTCTCTTTAAAGAAGAAGGAGAACTTAAGACTCCAGTAAAGCAGGCCAAGTGCAGATTTTTTACTGGATCTCCCCCAAATCTTAGCTATCCCGCTCACACCTTTTTTTTGACAGCACTTCTCCTCTTCTTCAAACCTTTCAAAAGCATCAACTTTCATGTTCCTGGAAAATTTTTTTTTCTTTTTTTTGCCCCTCATAGTTCATCATAATTTTTAACCAAGTTATTTAATTTTACAATGCTAATGACAGTGACACAAGGACTAGTGAATAAACACAAACCTAACTTTTGGTGAATCCAGGAGGGGTGTGTGCAGAAGCAAGCTGTCACTCGGTGGCAGACTCCTGGTGAGGGGGGTTCAGTGGCAATGGCCACCAGCTTTGTGGAGTAGGCTAATCCACCAAACTGCACAAGCGGAAGTCAGTCAAAATGCTTTATTTTAGAACCATCACAGTTAATATATATAACATATAAATACATACCAACATATATATACATATGTGTGCGCAAAATAGTGGTTTACTTCTATTTTGCCCAAGATTTTTTATTGTTACTTGATTTTAAAATCTGGAGTTAAAATTTTATCAAATGTCTTGCTAGCATCTATTAAAATGATCCTGACTTTTCTCATTTGACCTATTGATATTATGTAGTACAGTATCTTTAAAAGAACTGAAATATTCTTAGATTCCTAGAATCTCATCTTGTCATGGTATACTCTATTTTGATGGTGTCCCTTTACCAATATTTTATAAGTATCCATATTCATAAATGAGGTTGGTATAAAACTTTCTCTTTCTGAAATAATCTTTTCTCTGACTCTGTTCTTTTTCTCAGTTATAGAATTTTTATATTCAATACAGCAAAAGTGCAGATATTTGCAAAAAGGCTACCTCTACCAAATGCAGTCACACCTTGGTTCTCAAACATCACTCATCTTGAACAATTCGCTTCTTACTCCCAGACAATCCTTTCATACTATCAGATGCTATCTGATGGCTTGTATAAGCATTCATGTATCTCTCAGGTGATAAGCACATGTTAGTATGAGTCAGTTTACTGCTAACCTTCACATTGTCAATATCTCAGGAAATTGTGCTATGAATATTACTGAGTGTTTTTTTTGCTTTTGTTGCTGCTCATTATTAAATTTTCGTTTTTTTACCCTCCATTTCATTTTTTTTGTTAAATTTACATTTATATCCTCTTTGTTTTTAAAGTGTTTATTTATAGGTTAAATAGTACACTAGACATGTACTGTATATAAGAAAGGTTAAAACAGGGAATCATTTGGGGATCTAGAATGGATTAATTCAATTTACATTATTTTTAATGGGGAAAAAAAAGATTTGGTTTTCAAATAGCCTTTCAGAACAAATTAATTCTAGAACTGAGGTTCCACTGTATAATAATCCTGCTCTTAATTGCTTTGATATTCTTATTATAACTATTAGGAAAAACCAATATCAGGTTTCCAGGGGCTTCCAAGTCAGAGGAGTGAACCCTCTCTCCAAGGACATCCCGGAGGTGAGAGGCAGCAGAGGAGGAGGCCAAGTGCGATCTCAGGTGCACTTCCCTCTCCTTCCACCAATTCCGTGGTAACTAGTTCTTTAGAGAGAACTTCGATCTGATGAATACAATAAAAGAGAGGCTTAAAACAAAGATAGATCAACGAAAAGCCAATCCCTTAATATAAATTTTAATAGTCCTCAAAACTAATCACGTTTTTAGTAGTAAGGATAAAAAATAATGTATATCAAGTAAAGCAGCAAAGCATGAGTTTTTAAATGAACAAGAGTCTCTTGAAATATCGAAACATCTAATTTAATTATACCTGCCATTTTATCAGTTACACAAAGAATTTAAGCTAGACTCTGTTTTCTCTTACACTATCTAAAAATCCATTTAGCTCAGTCTTTTCTTAAGTGCTTCACCAGGTTTCTTTTGTTAGTTTAAAGGCCTGAATATAAAATTGTTTTTAGAGACTACCGATTACTAGCTCCACGTGAAAACAGCAAATCGTGCAGAGGTTTGATTTCTGTTGTGGCTGGTGGACTATGAAAGAAAAGACGGGAGTGTCGACAGAGCCTAGGCGTTTTCAGTCCTCACACTTGGCTTTTTTGGAAGCTGGAAGAGAATCATCATTTCCTTCTGATGGCCGTGGTTTCTTCACTGTGGAAATAATTCCAAAAGCAGTTTTCCTAGTTTCTACAAAACAAGGAAGAAAATCAGTGCTTGAAGTTCAGACAAAGAACAAGTATCACCATGTTGCTTTTTAAAAAAATATATATTTTATTGATTTTTTTACATTGAGGAAGGGAGAGAGATAGCTAGAAACATCGATGATAGAGAATCATCGACCAGCTGCCTCTTGCACGCCCCCTACTGGGGATGTGCCTGCAGCCAAGGTACATGCCCTTGACCGGAATCGAACCTGGGACCTTTCAGTCTGCAGGCTGATGCTCTATCCACTGAGCCAAACCTGTTTCGGCACCATGTTGCTTTGACTGAAAGCACTAGTAAATGATTAAACCATCACAAAGTAGTGACTGCTGATGGCATTTAGTGTTATTACCCCTCCCCTGTTCCCTCACCTGTCCTATATACTAATATCAATGTATCACCAACATCTAATTCATTCCTACGGATTACTTCAAGGGTAAAACTGCATGCAGGTTATCTCTACTGGTTTGTCCATGGCATTTTATACAGCCAGAACACAAGTCACAGACCCTAGTGCAGCAGATGCTTTACATGTGGGAGAAAGATGGATGAATCACCAGAGCAAGTACAACCATCACAATTGTACTTCCTCCAGTGTGTGCTCACTTTCATTTGACAGCATGTAGCACAGCTGTCATCTCTGCTAGATCATCAATGTACCTCTGAAGATTCCATCATATTTACGGCCTGATTATGTAATAGGTGTTCAATAAATACTTGAGTTAATGAAGAAAATTGAACTCACAAGTTTATCGATTTCATAGACCGGTGATGATAGACAAAGAAAAATATGATTATTAGATGTTTAGGTCAGATTGGCAGCAGAGTTCAACCTAAATTTAGTTAACTTGTGCTAAAAATCTACTAGGGGGCCAGGCATTGTGTCATCTATAGAGGATATAAAAATGCCTGATAGTGCTTCTTCCTACAACACACTGAGATAAATGCACAAGGGGCAAATATAATAGGAATGGAGGTACCCACAAGAATTAATCCTGCCTGGATAAATCAAGGAAGGTATCATAAAAGAGGTGACTCGCTCTAGCTGGTTTGGCTCTGTGGATAGAGCATTGGCCTGTGGACTGAAGCGTTCCAGGTTCAACTGTGGTCAAGGGCACATGCTCAGATCAAAGGCTCTATCCCCAGAAGGAGGCATGCTGGAGACAGCTGATCAATGATTTTCATCATAGTTGTTTCTCTCTCTCTCTCTCTGAAATCAGTAAAAATACACATATAAAAAGATAAAAGAGGTGACTCTAGGAAGGAAAGAGGTGGCAAATGGTGAAGGAAGTATTGCTTTGCAAAGCTATGGAGAGAGCGTGGGGTAAGAAGAACCTAGTATGGTTAGGGGTCAACATGGCTGGTGAGAAGGAAGAATGTGAAAAAAATTAGGGAGAAATGAGGCTGACAGAATAGCTTGGGAAGAGCTATAATACCATGTAAAGAGATTCAAACTTAGTCCTTAGGAAGTGAGAGGATCTAGGGAAAGATCCATTTGCTACAAAGGAGGTAAAACCTAAAGAACTCAATAAACATAAATTTAGTTTAAAATTATTTATTTCAAGTAATAAAAGTAAAGTCAATTTTAAAGAGCTAAGTGTTACCTTTCCATTTGTAAGGATTAACTTGAGAAGTCTACTATATTTTTGTCAGTTATTTAAAAGCATTTAATATATAAAAAGGAGAAAACTGCTCTTGAGGTTATTAAAATGACAACATAAAACAATGATTTTCAGGAGGGAAAGTGTGATGATATGAAGAGGAGGGAGGAGAAAGGAAGAGTAGAAGCCTATCAAAATATAGCCAGGGACACCCACACAGAGCCTGAAAGGATGCACTCAATACTCATTTCTGTAATACAAACTATTCATTCCACAAACTTCAGAAAGTAAAGCCTGAAGCGAAAGAAGAGAAAGCACTGCTGGTTATGGTTAAAGCAGGCTGGGAAAGATGACCCCAAAGGACCTCTGCAGGGAAGGGTAATACAAGTGGATATGGCGCAATTGTCTGATAAAGATGCCTGGCGCCTCACATGACCACTGGATGTTTTTGTTGGAAGAACTTGCTCACTCACCTCCATGGAGAAGCGCCGCTCGGCAGTTGGTAGAAACTGCAGCCTTGGCATCACTCTCAGAGAGCCCAAAGAGCAGCCCTCTGGGGGTCATTAAGGATTTTAACCCAGTCAGCCAAGGACAGGCGACTAACACAGACATAACTGGCAATGCCAGCTCACCTGGTCAAACTGCAAGAGAGACGTTAATCCTATGGCAGTTTTTAGCCCAAAGGGAACCTGCATTTGAAAAGAGGCTTATTTAACTAAGCTTTTTAAATATAGTTCCTCATTCTTGTTCTCCTTTTTCTATCTCACCCTTAGTCCAGAAAACAAAAGGATAAAAACATCTAGAACCTGATGTAATTTGTTTTCGAAATTATTAACTGGTAAACTTATAGTAAAAAGTTAAGAGAAATATCTTGTTAAAGTGTATCATTTCAAATTCCAAATTTCATAAGAGAAAATTTCAATAACTTCTGACTCAGAAAAGGATACAAGTTTGCCACGTCATATGGACCTCTTATTTCTAAAGGCTAAAATAAAACGAACAAAAAAACAGACATGAGTGCTGCTATCCATAACGTTTCAATGACTTCATCTACAATAAATTAATAGGATGATTAAGTATCCAAAAATAAGGAAGTCAATTGCATAAATTTAAGTTGTTATAATTTTTTTTGTTTTAAGTTTCTAAACATATAAAAGAACCTTAAAAAGCATTCTATAATAGTATAAAGAAAAAACTATTTATATAAACAAAACTTGAAGCCCAAAAGAAATGGGAATAGATTTTACTCCTCAGCAATTACAATGAGCAAATACAGTTAAAATAAAAACATGCAATAAACGTTTGTTATATTACTATTTTAATTTCTCCCCTAGAAACTGTTTCAAGTTTTATGGCCTGAAAAGCAAAAATAAAATATGTAGAGGTAGACTTACCCGTTCTGCAGCACTAGATATAATTACATTCTACAAAACAGAAAGTGATCAATATTAATTTTAGAGGTTCAAAAAAATTGAAGAGTCTTAGAATATAAATAATCAGTATTCACATTTTAACATTTAAGGCTCTAGGAACACCAACTTTTTTTTTAAGACAAGGTAAATAATTAAAGTGAAAGAATAAGAAACCCTCATGTCAAATTAAAGGCAGCATATAATAAGTCTTCCCAACAGATCTTAGAAAAGATAAATTCGTCTTAAAAAACTAGTTGAGAAGGTCATATAACCTAAATTCAACTCACTGATGACAAAAATTTATTATCTAGACTATTCTTTTCAGTGGCTAAATTGCAAATTTCTTATGGAAAGATAAAGACTTTCAACATATCTTTCCCTTTCTCAGTGAGTCTTTTCTCATTATTTGCTTCCCCTTAAAACTTACAAGAGCTCATTGAAACAGGAGAATTTATTCCTGTGCCATGACAACTTTCTGCTTTAAGGAAAAGAAATTGCTTTGATAATCTAGTGGATTAATAATAAACTGCTGGATTTGAAAACCATCCTAAAATTAGGAAACCATACCTTTCCTTTGCAGACTTGCATCAAGTTGAGGGCATTGGAAATGGTGTACCTTCTCATTGTGGAGTCTTTGATAGCTGGGCTGTAAACAAGTTCAAAGCCCACACCTCGGTCAATTGCCTTCACAGGAAATAAAGAAAAATATACAGTCAAGGATAAATACAACTGTTTTTCTCTATTTTCACTGAAGTTCCCTCACCTCCCTCTATGCCCTCCACTGCCCACCTCCTGCTTATTGAAGTATAGCCTTAAACAAAGGCAGATTTATGCCCAAATAGCACCATCCACAGAAGAAAACAAATTTGTCTCTATCTGATCAACAGAGTTTATCTTAACCGTGGGGAGGCTGGCGTTATATAAACAGGAATCATGAAGAGGCTATGGTGAGCAAAGTCCCAGTGGGGTGGCACAAAGGCTGTTATTCCATGAACAACCGAAAGAAAAGATGTGCTCCCTATACTGAGGGTAAACTATTTGCAAACACAGTAAACCAAGTAATTTGACCCAAAATGAAAAAAAAAAGAAATGAAGAGCTGAAAAATTTCCAAAGAACAGGGGTGGAAGGCCTCTTGGGTAGTCACTTATTAGATATCTGTTGAATGAAGGAGGGCAAGATAGCCATGGTTGAGTGTTATGTGTCAGGCGCTATGCTAAGAGTCTTATATATATATTTAACCCTTATAATAACCTCTATAAGGCATTATGGCAGAGATTGCTAATTGCCCCTGATATATGTCCTTCCCTTTTTCTTTACTAATTGAGTCCCTAATTTTAAGCTGCGTTCATGGATGTCCAGCAAAAAAGAAAGAAGAAGGCTGGGCCCTTGATCTTGCCTCGCTCTCCAGGCAAGAGAATGGCCTGGCAGTGGTGGAGATGAGACTGAACTTCACCACTACACTATTTAGCTTTTTTCTTTACCCATTCACAATAGACATGTTTTAAGCCAACTATGCATGGGACTCTTGAGAAAAAGATGACATGGTTCCTCTCTCTAGGAGCTTACACTTTAGTGTGATCAGATAATCACACACAAATACAAAACTTTAACTGTGATAAGTGCTACCAAGCGAGAGGTCTGGGGTTGGGTGAGGAAGGAATTAAGTAGTTAAATAGTAGAGGGAGGGGCATTCGCAGAGGGAGGGAGGAGAACGTGGAGCGGCCCTGGGTTGGAGAGAGCATGGTAGCACATAAAGGTTATAGGCCAGGGAAGAGAATTAAGGGGGAGCCTTTATGGTGAAGGTGAAGGCTAAAGAGATGGAAAGGCCAATGGTGCAGGTCTTTAGAACTGGTGACAAGATAATCTTCTAAGAATAATGAGAAGTATCTAAGGTCTTCAGCATGAAAGCAATAATCAGACTTGCAATGGCAGACACTAAGTTACAGTGGACTTTTGGAAGAACCAAGGAAGGAAATCAGGCCCAAACCAAGTAGTATGGCCCAAGTCTCCATCTGGCAAATGAGCTTGTATTACCCAGAGGATGAGCTGGGACTGGTCCACAGGTAACTGCTAGAGGTCTACTCCTGAGAGTGTGCAGGAAATGGAAAAAGCTGTCTTCTTCCAGAACTGGCAGCCACCTGGATTTAGTTCAGCTGTACCTGGCAGGCTCCTTAGCCTTCCTGAACACAGATATCCTTTTTAACACCCCACAATCTGCCCTGTCCTTAATCTTCTTGCTGTCTTCAGGTTCCCAGATTTTATTTTGAATTTTCCTACATATTTGATATTAGTTAGATTTTACATGCTACTTTCCACACTGTAATTTTCCCTTCTTTCCTTTTCTGGCAACTTTTCCCCACCTCTAATTCATTGGTGTGTGTTGTTTCTGGGAATGATATGTGTTAGGATACACTTTGTGCCACAGTTAACTGTCCACCCCATTTTTCCTGCCCAGCTTGTACATCTTGAGCTGATATGCTTCTTTGTAACTCACAACTGCCCTTTATACAAGTGTTTAATATATTTACAGTCTAAGAAAATAAATCGTAGTTTATGAAAGAGGCCATGTGATAATGCTGATAATCCATCATAAAAGAAACCAGGATGAACTTGGCAAATTGAAATTCAGACAAATCAAAGAAAGTTCCTTTAGCCATATTCTCAATTATTCCCATCTCTCTCTCTCTCTCTCTCTCTCTCTCTCTCTCTCTCTCTCTCTCTCTCTCTTTTAATAAAATATATTTTATTGATTTCTCACAGAGAGGAGAGAGGGATAGAGAGCTAGAAACATCAATGAGAGAGAAACATCGACCAGCCGCCTCTTGCACACCCGCTACCGGGTATGTGCCCACAACCAATGTACATGCCCTTGACCGGAATCGAACCTGGGACCTTTCAGTCCGCAGACCGACGCTCTACCACTGAGCCAAACCGGTTTCGGCCCCCTAGCTATTTCTCTTAACAAAAGTACTAATTAGCCAGAGGATGCCATATATTTTTTTCCTCATCCTTCTACCCTGTTTCCCCGAAAATAAGACAGTGCCTTATATTAATTTTTGCTCCCAAAGATGCCCTAGGTCTTATTTTCAGGGGATGTCTTATTTTTCCATGAAGAAGAATACGGTACACATTTATTGTTAAATGAAAATAAAGAAAATTTATTACCTGTATATGGAATGGTAGTACGGTAGCTGTCAACACAAACCAGACAAACTGTGAATCCTACAGTATCAAGAATTTACTCATTTATTCAATGACAATCATGTCATCATCTTCTGGAACATCATCATAACAATCCAATTCCTGAATTTCCTGGTGAATTTCTTGTGACTCCATTTCTTCCAGAATCAGTGGACCAAATCTCTCATGTTTAGCCTAGGGGGGGCCTTATTTTTTTGGGGATGCCTTAGATTTCACTCAGAAGGAAACCTGTAAGTAGGTCTTATTTTCGGAGGATGTCTTATTTTCGGGGAAACACGATAGTTGCTGAACTAAAACACAAGGCAGTGGGGTGGAGAAGAGGGGAAACAAAGGATGTGGATGACACAGAACTAGATGGCCAGGTGCCTAAGCTTTCTTCATTGTACCTGAAATCCCCCCTCCCCGCCCCACCTCACACCATGGGGACCAGATCAAAATTAAACTTTTATTTTTGAGGGGGAAGAGGAGAGAAAAAGGAATATAATTATCAGCTTAATTATTTTTTAAGAACAAAGTTCTGAGTTTGATCTCAGTACATCAACCAAGCTTACTTTAAAGTTGCTAACAAAACTGAGACAGAGAAATGAAAGATAATGCGATACTGAAGGTTGTGAACATTCCTTTCATAACACTTTATAAATTGTTAGGTATAGTATAGACTCATTACCAGGTCTCTTGCTTCTAAGACCATTTTAATGAAAATTGCCTTAAGCTCATCAAATGATTGTTCATAACAGCCTTTCATAAAGAATGACAGTGCCTGCATGATTGGCTTTTGTTCACTTCTCTGACCAAAGATTCTAAAAGAGGGAGATCTCTTTACTAATGAGAAATAATGTGGTAATGACTTGGCAAACCAAGGGCAGATGTGTGATACTTGAATCAAGAGATATTGATGGTAAAAAATAAAAAGACAAAAAAGATATATTGATGGTAAAATTCCAAGAACTAAACTTAACAGAATGAAGGAAGAAAATAGGAAGTTGATTACTGGGTCATTGCCTGAATTCCCTGTTAATTTCATAAAAATTAGTTATTTATTGAATTCAAAGGATGACACCCTTGGTGTATCACTCTTTAAAACAGGTAATTTGTGCCCTAGTCAATTTGGCTCAGTGGCTATAGCATCAGTCTGCAGACTAAAGGGTCCCTGGCCCTGGTGGGGGTGCATGCAGGAGGCAGTGTGCTAACTAACCACTGAGCCGAAACGATGAGGGCTATCATTAGTCTTTTAACTTTACTTCTGTGGGGAGTTTTTGCTATGCAAAATTTTGATGGTGGCAAGTTTGCTGGCACTGGCCCAAGCATTAGATCAATGAAGTACTTAACACATTTCAGTTCCCAATATATGTGTGATAAAAAATAAAGCTTATAGAGCACTCACACCCAATCAAGTATATGTGGCACGAGGACTGGAACAACCTCACTGCTTCAGACACTATTTACAGGACATTTCTCAGTGGGGACTAATTGAATCATGAAGATAAAAATCGATTAGGGTTAAAGGAAGTGCTGAGGGGAAAACATCAGAAAGAGAGTATAAAACATACAAACACCAAAAATACAGAGTGGCCAGATTATTATGACCACCCTATCATTACTTCTTTGGGCCATCTTTTGCCTTCAATACTGCGGCAATTCTTCTGGGCATTGACTCCACGAGATGTTGAAAGGTGATGCAAGGAATCTGACACCATGCCTGATGAATAGCACTGTCCAGTTCTGTGAGATTTGATGGTTGTGGAACCAGCTGCCTGATGGCTCTTTTAACTTCGTCTCACAATGCTCAATTGGATTGAGATCTGGTGATTGTGGGGCCACCTAAACAAGGTAAATTCTCCCTCATGTTCTTGAAACAACTCCTGCATAATACAAGCATTATGGCATGGCACATTGTCTTGTTGGAAGAAGCCATCTCCATTGGGATATGCCATTAACATGATAGGATGAACTTGATCAGCAATGATACTTAGGTATGTTGTACTATTCAGACTTTGTTCCACACGAATTAAAGAGCCCAAATCAAGCCAGGAAAACATGCCCCAAACTATAACACTGCGCCCACCAGCTTGAAGGGTTGTACTCATGCATGTGGGGTTCATGCTTTCATGCTGTTTCCGTGAAATTCTCACTCTGCTATCTGCATGATGCAACTGGAAACATGATTCATCAGATCACATGACTTTTTTCCAATGGTCAACTGTCCAATTCTTGTGTTTCTGTGTGAATCGGAGACATTTTATCTTCGTAACTGCAGACAGCAGTGTTCGAACAGGTCTCCGGCTTCCACATCCCATACGATGCAGTGCACGGCTAATTTGCCTACCGACATCAGGTGGTCATAATAATCTGGCCACTCAGTGTAATATACTTGAAGTCATTGTTGAATGGCAATAACATTGAAAAAACATCAAAGGGAAAGTAAAGGTATGTGCTACTTAAAGAAACATTTCAAAACCTGAATTCATAAAGATTGTTTTAAAATATGAAATTATTGTGTGCTCTGTTATAAAGTAATTTCCATAGCATTTCCCAGTAGTGGAAAATGACAGGAGGTAAAATAAAAGCTTGAGTACAATTGCCAAGGCAAGACTTTGGGAGAGAAGTCTATCTGTGTGAGTCACACACTACCTAAGTTTCAATTCCATTAGTAGAGTAATTCAAATCTACCTGACACTAAAGCTGCTGGGCTAGAGTAAGTGTAAAAGTGGTTAAACTATCATTATTAGAAGTCATTTGATTATCTGAGGAGCTAATTTCATTTTTTAGAAACCCAATTATCACATAATAAATGTATGTGACTCCCATACTTTCTAGACCAGTGGTCGCCAACTGGTGGTCCACAAGGTCTGAAAGGTTGGTGACCACTGCTCCAGACTCCAGAAGAGGTTTGTAGGATCCTCAGAGGGAATTACAGCATTGAAACTATGGTGCCCCAAGCATGAAAGATTACAAAAGGGCCAAGAGCTATGAATTACTACACAAGTGAAGTGCTTTTGTGTACCTGAGCCCACTTCATAATCCCAAACTTCTAAGCTGACAATTCGTGGCTTCTAGTCTCTAGGTAAAAAGACTAACGAATTCCGTTTAAATCTCCCACTTATCACCACCATAGAAGCGAAGAGCACAAACCCAATCCAAATTAGGATACATGTGCCTAATAAAGGGATCCTTGTAAAGCCAGCCTATCATCTTTTCATGGCCAAACACAAGTTCATCTTGAAGGCCAAAGGAGCAGGCAAGGACCAAGACTTAAGGCTGAATTGTTAACCACATTCACTCTATGTTCTGTGTTTTCATGGTGAACATACTTCCCTACACACATAGCTCCATATCCAGATTAGATATATCAGATACAAACAATACATACACAGCTATACAACTATTAGTTACCCTGAACAAGCAGCTAGACATCTCTCACCATATGTTTCCAGCTTCCTCTCTCTTAAATGGGAACTAGGTGAATAAATTAACAGGGACTCTTCTTCCTGACCAGTTCACACTGCAGCCTACTTCTTCATTAGGTAGACTAGAAATAATCTCGCGCAGTCCTTCTCTCCACTCCCATCATCTTGTTTTTATTAAACAACATATGTAAAATGTTCACACCAGATTTTTTAAAAAGCAGACACTGTGTTAAATACTGCATATCCCTCTCACTTGTCAAATTTTCACTTTTCAGAATTCTTAACTTGAAAAGTGTGGGAATTAAGACAAAAATACCATCAAACAGCAGCAGCCTTCCTGAACTTACAAATGAATTGGAGGGCGGGTTGTCCTACTGCTGCTGCCTCCTCATGGCAGCCCAGTGCCCCACTTCCCTCACCTGCCAACACTGACTACCGGCTAATGACTCGAACGAGCAGGATTTGGCCAGGTTCCCCAAGCTGCACTCTGATATGCTAGGCTAGACACATATTCACCCAACTGAGAAGTTTCAGGGGGGACCCTCTACAGGGCACGATATTGGGATAATTTAAAGAGGATTCCCATGACACACCGGTTGCTCTCTGGAAGCTCACAGTCTGGGCTGGACAAAGGGTACTTTTGTAAGAAAGCCCCCACCAAGCAGCCACTGGCAAGCACACCCTGTGTGGAACGTAAGGAATCGTGTGCACTGCTGTCCATTCTATGGATCATGGACTCCTATTTTCTCCCAACAAGGACACAATACTATATGTGGGTTGACTCAGGCAAAGCCATCCAGAAAATAGCCTTCCTAGCTCATTAAAGTGAAGGAGAAAGGTAAAAGGACTTTAAATTTAATGGCTGTGCTGGCTAAGTGCAGGGGGTGCCATTTACACCGCAATGGGGTTGGCAGCGTGAGGCTCTGGCAGGCTTCTGGAGCCAGAGATTGCGGCCACTTCTGGAGAGGAGCCGCATGCGAGGCCAACAGGCTGCTGTGGCCCTGGGTACTGGAGGGGGCTGTGCCTTTTATCACAGGAGCTGGGGCATGGCGGGGGGCTCACATGTCAGAGAATCAACAGAACGGTCTGGACACTGTGACTGAGGAGCTCAACGGCTTCTCCTGGCTGGTCTTCATTTCACCACGTCTGCTAAGTGGGCTGTGAACACAGATCTCCAACTCTTAACTGTGATGAGACGGGCATTTTGTTTTGTTTTAGTATTTACTTATTTATTTATAAGCACTGGCAAGAATGTGGGGAAATGACGATTTGTGCTTAAGCAATATTGTTATATGTTCAGTTCTCCTCTCAATATTTATCAGAAAAAAGCTGATACGACTTTAACATTTTGGGTACTTTTCAAATACAGTTTTAGAAGCATATTTTTAGGGGCAGAACATAAGCCAACTAAAATTTTTACACACTGAATTCAATTTTTCCGCACCACATAGACCAATTTTCTCCTCATTGTCTCCCCTTATTCTTGGATCGAGCCAATTCCCTAGCAGCAGAGACAGGAAAACAACTTGAGGAGGCTCTGATTCTACAGAGACAAAAGAATAGGACAGTTCTCTACCTTGAAAAAACAGATTAATTTTTAATTTTCCAACTCGGACAGGATTAGGTATATATCTGGATTGTTTATTAAACTCTCTTTCTCCTTCCATAATACTCTCTGAGAATGGGAGACTCAGCTTTGGAAGCCAGTCTTCTAAAATAGCATCCTCCCCCTCCCTAGGATCTAGCTGCTAACGCAAGCAGTTGTTAGTGATGTGAAATATCACCTTTATGATGGAATAAGATTCACAAGACGGCATGACAGATGGGAGAGGAAGGGTAGGGAAAACAAGAGAATTATGTAGAAAGGTACCCTGTAGAAAAGTACTGAAGAAATTTCTATAGCAGAGAGAGGAACAAAAAGTCCCCAGAATGCAAGGCTCCCCTCTTAGATAATTACAAAGGTAACCGGGCTTTTATGTAAAACCAGCATGCTCCAGTGCAGCTTTTCATTGCTCATGGACCATGCCCGCTATGCTTTCTATGCCCTCCCCCAGCACACTGGTGCCTCAAGGATCCCCAACATCATTTCCCTTCCCCTTCTTTCTTGACTACTCTGTCCCTAGTGTTCACTATTCAGGCAAGAAAGTGTCCAACTCTGTTAGCTTTCCTTCCAAGAAATATCCTTCATAGATTTTGATTTTTAAGGCCTTTCAAAAACATCTCCATAATTTACTGAATTTCTTTATTTTAAGCTTTCTTTCCTCCTTTAGTCAATTTACAACAATAAAAATCCTTATTTAGCCCTAGCTGGTTTGGCTCAATGGATAAAGCGTCAGTCTGTGGACTAAAGGGTCCCAGGTTTCTTTCTCTTTCTCTCTCTCTCTCTCTCTCTCTCTCTCTCTCTCTCTCTCTCTCCCTCCCTCCCTCTCCCTCTCCCTCTCCCTCTCCCTCTCCCTCTCCCTCTCTCTCTCTCCCTCCCTCCCCCTCCCTCCCTCCCTCCCTCCCCCCTTGTCCCTTCCTCTCTGAAATCAGTAAAAATAAGTATATATATATATCTATCTGAAGCCCAATGCATGAAGATTAGTGCAAGAATGGGCCTTCCTTCCCCTGGTTGCCAGCACCACTTTCACTCTGGCTGGAGCAGCCACTCTGCCTTCCCACACTGCCCAGAGGCCTGGAGCAGCTGGGGTGGTGCAGAATGCCTGTGTCATCACCATGGCAACGACGCAAATGCCCTGCCCTCTGCTGCTCCCACTCGTGTATGCAAATTAATCTGCCATCTTTGTTGGGTTAATTTGCATACCCACAGCTGCCTGGCTGATGGGTGCCACGAAGGTGCAGTCAATTAGCATGTTACTCTTTTACTAGATAGATATATATATTTTTAAAAAATGCTTATTTAACTCTAGTTGATTTGGCTCAGTGGACAGAGGCATTGGCCTGTGGACTGAAGGGTCCCAGGTTCAATTCCAGTCAATGGTAGGAACCTTGGTTGTAGGCTCAATACCCAGCCCTGGTCGGGTGCGTGTGTGGGAAGCAACCAATCGATGTGTCTCTCTCACATCAATGTTTTTCTCTCTCTGTCTCTCCCCCTCCCTTCCACTCTCCCTAAAAATCAATGGCAAAATATCTTTGGGTGAGGATTAACAACAACAACAATAACAAAAATGCTTATTTATCACCTACCCTTTGTTTTTCTTCATCTAAGAGCACTGGTTTCTTGTCCAGTTTGTTAATCTAAGTTTCTACAGATTCAAGCATAGAAAGGGAAGGATAACACTTACCACATTAATAGGGGGTCTTCTGAAGTAAAATGGTAGCTTCTCTGTTACAGTTATGCAGACTAAATCCACATCCAGATGTGTACAAGCAACCTGCCAGGAAGAAAAAGCAGGTGAGCTCTTTCTGTGGCTCCTTGGAGGGGGGCGGCTGCTTCAGGATGAAGTGAACACCTCTTTCCCAGCCACTGCCTGCCAGGGACTCACTGAAGCGGACGATAAATGCAAACGTCTACCTTTTGTGAGACGTTTATGGCACAGAAGTTTTTGCTGATGCTCTGGGTGAAAATGGAAGAAGGAGTTATGTGGTTTGAATCAGTGGTTGAGAACAAACAAGGTTTCCTCATGAAGCAGGGTGTCTTGACCCATTGCTGTATCCACCTGCTACTGTTATACACCAAGGAGGTTTGGAGAGAGAAAGCACAAATCTGTTCGGGGCTGCATGTGGATGCCAATCTCAGTGCTCTCAACTAGGTCATTGTAAAAAAAAAAAAAAAAAAAAAAAAAAAAGATATTCCTGGTCTCACTGATACTGTGTCTCAAAAGATGGAGATATCTGCATAAATGTGTGAGAAAGCCCCTACATAAAGAAGGTAAGAAACCTTGGACCAAAGCACCCAACATTCAGATGCTTGCTACTCTAAGCATCCCGCAACACAAACGTCATGTATTGCTCTGAAGAAACAATGTACTAAAAAAGTAAATAAACAAGAGGCTGCAAAATATGCTAAATCTTCAGCTAAGAAAATGGAGACCAAAGAGAAAGGCAAAAGAAAACCTGGCACATTAAGAATGGGAGTGAGGTCAATTCGGATATAAAGAAACATAAATAGACATTGCTCACGCTAAAGGTGTTATGATGGCTCTGCGTTGAAATACAAAGCCCGTGGTCAGCCATTCTTGCAAGTTTGGCTTGAATGGTTCAACTGTAATCTGGCTGAAGCAGTGTGGTATGTCCACTGACCTTTAACAGACAGGGCCGAGAGACCCTCTGACTCACGATCTGCTAATAAGGATGGGCTGTTAAGAGAGGCTTGGTTTGTGGAAGTGTGGATTGTTCTAGAAAGGGAAAACTAACTGAAATCCAAGAAAGAAAGAAAAGAAAGAAAGAAAAAGGCCAAATGTTCCACTTTTCCCGTAAATCATTTCTGTGCTAGGAATTGTTTCAGGCCTGTGGTTCCTATCAGTCCATAGAACGGCTGAAGAAACATGAACATGACACTACCGCTGGCATTTTGTTCAAATACCAATGAAAACAATCTACATAAATGGTCAACACAGAGCTGTTACAAATCAAATGATTACTGAATGCATTTTTCAAATTTAATTTCTCTTTCCTTTTTTCTAATTTTTGCTATCATTTATTGATCAATACTCTGCATTTATATCCAAAAGAGATTTGAAACTGCTTACAAAAGCTGCTTGCAAGATGAAGTAAACAGGTAAGAAAATCAGGACAAAAGGAAAATAAATTTGAGGAAAGATTACTAGTTTAAGAGTACAGGCCAAAAGACACTGCTAGAAGATGAATATCTGGCTCTGATTTTCCATTATTGGATTTACAGTGATAAAAAGAATTGGCTGTTTTGAACTGTATTAAACATAAGACACACTCACCATGTTGGTATATACAGAATCCATGAACAAATTCACACTGCCAGGTGGCTATGCTGACAAACCAACGTCAGGGGCACAGACCAAGGGAAAGGACGGAGTAAGGAAGAGGAGTAAAGAGGGGGTAATAATGGGGAGTTCTTCAGAATCCCCACTTCGGTCACTCCTTCCCCCTCCCAGACTTTCTGGCTTTAAGACAGCCCTAGTAACTCAGTAAGCCTGGGAAGTAGTGCTGTTTTGGCAAAAACACTTGGCTCACTAAGATTCTGCCCAATCCCAACTGCTACAGCTGCCCAACTCATAAAAGTCATTGAAAATTTAATAAGAATGAAGAAAAGTTCTGATAATACAACCATTTTTTAACTATCACAATAGCAAAGATAAAAATGTTCAGGAATACTCTACTAACACAAGAAGAAATAAACAGGTACTCACAGGATCCTTACATCAGTATAGAATCTTAAAAAGTACTTTAGCAACAGGTATAAAAATATTAAGTGCATACACCAACAACCTCACTTAAAGGAATGTATCCTATAGGTTCTAGAAATATATTCTATAGCAATGTACTCTAAAATGCTCAGGGATATTAGTACAATGATAGTCACTGCAAACACCAATCACAAAAGACTAGATGCAATTAAACATGTATCAATTTAACTTCAACAAATTATATATAGTACCTTTTTACAATGGAATATGCTGACTCCTGAAAAGGAATGCGGTATATCTCTAATTGACATCAGGAACCATCTCCAAGATATACTGGTAGGTGAAAAAAGCATGGTGTTACGTAAGAAGAAAGGAAGGCGGGAAGAGAAAGGAATGAAGGAAGGATTAGGTAAATAATATTCCTGAGAAGACACAGAACTGTTAGCAGTGGTTGCCTCAGGAGAAAAGGGAGAAGACCTTTTAGGTAGGAGAAAAGTATACTTTCCAACGCTTATCTATTTGTACTCTTTGAAGTTTTTATCATGAACAGAAATTATTTTTTATTTAAAAAAAAAAGCGAATTCTTTTTTTTAAAGTCTGCTGAATATTATTCCCCAGACCAAAGCTAAATTAGGCTACTTATTATGTATTGGTTATTTCCTCCTTCTCCTATATAACTGGCTAATTAAAAAACATCCCTTGTTGGTTTAAGTACATGCATTTTAATAAACTTTCAGGAACAAAGGCCAGCTCTACTTGGTTCCCTCTGATACCTCAAACTTAAAATGTCTCAAACTAAATTCTCTTGCTATTTAGCATTCTATTAATCCAAGTTGTACTAACCTGACATTCATAAAAGGGACTTGGGAAGGACTATGAACCCTTATCCTTCTGCCCTCCTTGTTTTATAAAATAAAAAGTGTTTGAGTATGTATGTGCATTTAAAAAAAATATATATATTTTATTGATTTTTTTACAGAGAGGAAGAGAGAGGGATAGAGAGTTAGAAACATTGATGAAAGAGAGACATCGATCAGCTGCCTCCTGCACACCCCCAACTGGGGATGTGCCCACAACCAAGGTACATGCCCTTGACCGGAATCGAACCCGGAACCTTTTAGTCCGCAGGCTGACGCTCTGTCCACTGAGCCAAACCGGTTTCGGCTGTATGTGCATTTTTAAGAATATATTTTCCTTAAGTCCTCATAGGAGACCTTGGCCAAAGAAAAAGAACTGATATGAATTCATATACAACCTGCCAAAACCACTAAGATTTTAAACTATAAATATTATTTGTAAATACTTTAATCTTCTTTAATGATTTAGAAGTACTTTAATGTGAACAATGCTTTTATTTTATAGTTATCTAAATGTATCAATTGAACATTTTGATTAACAGAAAGTTAAACAGCAAAAAAATTCAGTTTGAGACATTTTAAGTTTAGGGTGCTTCCTTGCTGCCCCACACTGGTGCAGTTTTCTAAAGAATGGATCTGAGCCTTGGATGTGGCTCAGTGGTTGAGCGTCAACCTATGACCAAGAGGTCAAAGTTGGATTCCCAGTCAGGGCACATGTCTGGGTTGTGGGCTTGATCCCCAGTAGTGGGTGCGCAGGAGACAGCGGATCAATGATTATCATTATTGATGTTTCTATTCATCTCCCTTCCTCCTCTAAATCAATAAAAAATATATATATATATATATATATATATTTAAAAAGATTGTACCAGGCCCACTCCCGGTGATAAATTCAGAAGCAGGGCCAAAACATCCTCATTTTAACAAATATCCCCAGCAATTTTGAAGCTTGGGGAGCCATAAGCACTGTCTTGAAAAATATACCCTGTTCAAGAGCTGGAGGTACTGGCAGCATACTCTACAACAGCAGTTTTTAAAGGGAAATAGGCATGGATTTTGGAAGCAAATAGAACTTTTATTTCCATTTACTTTTTTAAATTACTCTCTTAAAACTTTTTCTGTTTTGTGTGTAAACTACCTTTTAAAGCACAGTTATAATGAAGTATGCAAATAATTTATAATGAAATAAACACATATATTTAACAAATCTGATAACTACCCACAGTTCTTATACTACCATGGTTCCATCAATGAATCAGAATCTCCTGCAGAACTTGAAACAAACAGATACCAGACTCAATCCCTAACCTATTGGGTCAGAATCTTCAGTGGGGAGGGCTGAACGCCCGATTTTAAAAAGTTCCACAGAGATTGCTGATGAATATGTGCCACTCCCCTTTACTGATCTCTTTTTCTGAAACAAAATTGAAAACTACTATAATTGAACATTTTATGAAAGGAGTCATCAAAAACAAAGTTATTCATAGATAAGTTGTGCCGTTCCTCTACAGTAATATACATAGTTAAGAATTAATAAAAAAAATTGTTAGTAAGACTGGAAAACTAAATTTACCACATAAGTCTTCTTTGTCAACAGCTCCATCTACTGGATAAACTTAGGCAAAATCTTCCTAAATACACTCTTGTGAAATTCCAGAACCATAAAAGAAAAATTCAGTTTCCAGACAGGGCAAAACAGATAATCTACAAAGGCATAATAATCAAGACTTCTTTTAAAAAATAATAAACACTATTTTCTTTTACCTAACTGTTACTTACATGAAAAAGTTTTTCTGTCTTTGGAAAAACTGCAACAATATCATACAGCCGGACCCTCGAAGAAGTTGCTCTCTAATAATAACAAAAGAATGTTAAGTTACTCTCTAGTTGTAAAAAAAATGTTGTCATATAGTAACAAAAACAGTACCTATGGGATTCTGCCTCTGGTTTGGCTGCACACCTAACATGCCACTGACAGTTTTGCTTTGCTTTGTATGTTGGCAGAAAAGACTTTCTAAGCACAAGAGAACTTAGATACCAACATCTATTCCACCAACCTTCTACCTTCCTTCCTACAATTACACTTGTATCAAACATTGTGTTTGCGATACAAAAATCAAATTAGATAGCCCTTGCTTTTACAAACTAGTGGAGGAGTTTGTCAGACACTGAGAGCCTGCTGTGTGAAGGACACTAGGAGTACAGGATAACTTAAGGCATATGTCTGCCCTTCAGGCAATTCACAATTTTGTTGGGAGATAAAAAATACACTTGACTAAGTGTGAGGCAATTAGAATGTTAAATACAAATTAAACTGCTAGATGTGCAGGAAAACACCTGAGAAACCAAGGACAGAATGAGAGAAAAATAAGACAGCTTATCCTGGCTTATCTTCCTCCCATTAAATGCTGAAATTCCTCAGGACTGCCCTAGACCTTATCTTCCCACCTCACACTTGGACCAGGGAGTCGCAGCCACTCCCACGAATTATTCTCTGTATGGTGACCACTATCTGTTATTATCTGTTATTAGGATCACTCTTCGAAGGGCCATGCCTTTCCAACTGCCATTTGATAGGCTCCAGTGGAACTTTTATATTAACCCACCAAGTCCCAAACGTCATGCCCTCAAAGCTGCTTTTCTCTGTATGTCCCGTCTCAGCAAATGGTACCACCAGCTACCTAACTGGCTGCTCAGGCCACACTATCGCACCATCATCCTAAATCCACTTAACCATCAAATCCGGGCCTTTGCATAATCCCTCCTGTCTCTGAGAACACTCACTCCCCCACTCAACATCTATATAACACTTACTGATTTTTCTGGCCCCAATTTGAACATCAACTTCCTCAAACTGGCCTCCAGAGCATCCTTTATTTACTACCTCCACCTTTTTTTTTTAAAGCTATTTCTCACAGATTTAAAAGGACTGTGTCTGTATTATTCATAGCAATATCCCTAGAACCACTGTATGTCTCAATGACTAACATTTGCCCAAGGACTCATGTATTGTGGTATTCCAATACATGTGCCATGAGTGGAAGAGATTCTGTTATATTATGTAAATTCTGAGGATGAGGAAAGCAGGCATGTGTCATGTACAGGGGTGGAGGTGTAAGAATGGGTTAAGTTGAAAACATTACTTCATCTACTTAAAAGTCCAAAACAAGAGAAGAAAGGTAATTAACTTACCAAAACATTGCAGTGAGATGGATCCGAAACAATAATTGTCAGTCGAGTTAAAATTTTTATTGGTCTTGATTTTCCCTATAATCAAAAACATACCATCAAAAAAAGCACAGAATACAAATGACTGATGTTCCTTTTTACCAGTGGAAGCATTCATTAAAAAGATGCCAGCAATAGAGCAGTAAAGATCAGTAAAATCCAGGCTTCATTCTCCAGGAATTTATATTACAGCTAGAGAAAAAAGATGTAAAACTACATAATGAGGTAAGTTAAAGGCTGTAGGACTTCTGGAAAGAAGACCACTGAAGAAGTATGGAATTGATAGTAAGAGAATGTTTCACAGAAGAGCTGGGTCCTGATGGAAAAGTAAGACTAGTAAGCAGAGGAAGGGGCATAGCAGGGTAGAGAACCATACATATCAGGGGCGTGTCTGCAGTGAAAGAATAGGTATTAGGCTTCTTAAACAACAAAACACCTACCTGTACAATTGGCAACGTTGTAAAGAGTTCTGAAACAGCTACTGGTTTTTCAATTTCCTACAACAAACAATAAACAGTTACCATAGATTATACATGTTAATGGGACAAAGCATAATGGAAAACTTACTAAGGGTTTGCAGAAAAGATAATTTAAGAAAAGAAATAAAAAAACTAATTTGTGGTATTCCGAAACACTAAATTAGCTTTTTTTTTTCCCCTTAAAAAATTAAAGGAAGCTGAAGAGCAGAGAAACAACTGTAAATATCAATGGATGGGAAGGATGAAAAGTAGTTTTTAGACTGAAATAATCTGTAAGGTACAATTGTTGGCCTAAAGAGAAATAATACATTTACCAGTATGTTATGTTAAAGAGTTAAAAAATCAAATACTGTGGATTATAGTCAGTCAATAACAATGCACTTTAAAAAAAAATGACTACTGAGTGACTTAATTAACATCAAAGTAACTTTAAGAATCCTCAAAGCATGTCTATTATTCACAAAAAAAGCTATCATTTGAACAAATATGCATCAACTCAACTAATATGAAATAAGAACAGTGCACAGAGAATGCATTTTTTTAATTGCAAGAAAATATGCTTAACTGTAGGTTCCATATTACCAATATAAATAATTATAAAAACTGGTCGTTGTTATTATTAACTTCAGAAATTATATTTTACCTGTTTCTTTTCTTTAAATTCAACAACATGATTGATGGCAACCACTGAATAGCCAACTGAAAAGAAAAATGGAACATTCTTCTTAAATATAACAACCTCCCTTTCCTTTACCCATAGTCCCATCCCACTTCTAGATGTCAAGACTAGGAGGAAGTTTGCAGAGTGGTATGGGTTTGGGCTCTGGTGTCAGACCGCCTGCTTTCAGATAAGCATTACCACTTACAAGTTTCAGATTCTTCGTCTGTCAAAATGGTGATAATAAAAGAACTTAACTACACGTCATGGGGATTAAATGAGTACATGCAGAGTGTTTTAGAACTGTGCCTGGCACTTAGGTAAAGTTTTATTTGACCTCTGTGACATGGTAGCATGATACTAAACACCCATAACTTTGAGTGTCTCCTTTCCATCTATCATTCTCTTTCATATCCTTTTTTCATTTTCATCCCACCAACTTTATACTAGTCAGCCTCACCTTTATTCTCACTCATTTCTTTTGCTTTTTAGCCTATTACTTCCTCTTCAGGCCCTTTTCCCAAGGAGAAATGGAGTAATGATGCCCTCACACCAAAGTCCACTTCTCTTTTGGAGCTTTCCACCATCAAGATTGGGAACTGTTTGAGGCCATGGCCTTGCTCTATCAGCCTCAACACAGAGCACCATTCTGGGCATTTGACTACCAAAATTATGTCTAAATCGTATTTTCAAGTTATTTTAACACTAATGGGAGTGGTGGTAATAATAGTATATGAAAATATAATGCATGTTAATGCCAAAATAGTGGGCCCCTTCATCAATTTGTCCAACTTCCTTCTTTCCCTCCTCACTCAAAAATTGGATATCCATTCCACAACAGGCCGTTTGCTACGTGTTGAGAATACAGAAAAACCAGTAGATAAAAGAAACTTCCAGTACCATTCTTCTTCTTCTTTTTTAAATATATTTTGCTGATTTTTTACAGAGAGGAAGAGAAAGGGATAGAGAGTTAGAAACATTGATGAGAGAGAATCATCAATCAGCTGCCTCTTGCACACCCCCTACTGGGTATGTGCCCGCAACCAAGGTACATGCCCTTGACTGGAATTGAACCTGGGACCTTTCAGTCCGCAGGCCAACGCTCTATCCACTGAGCCAAACCGGTTTCGGCACCCCCATTCTTCTTTACCATACTCCAAAGTCTGCTCTAAGTTTTCTTGTTATCCCCACTATGGAAACCTTTTGGCTATAAACAATGTCTCTACTGCCCTTCAGAAATGTCAACTAGATTCAATTTCTCCACAAACTTTTCCTAGATTACTCATTTGGCATTTTAGGATTACTTTCCCAATGTCTCTGGTGTAATTTCTATTTATATAACTTCTTTCTGAAACTTATTGGTTTCTTTCATCACATCATAAACCAAGAACCAGGGATCTGTTTTCTTTATTCTTTGAAAATTGCCACGCACCTAAGAGCACTCGTTTATCTTTACCTAAAATTGCGGTGACTTCCTGTCCTGTTATGACTTTTCATTTAATTTTAATTATACACATGGGGTAACAATGTATAGACATTTGACCACATCTCCTTCAAGAATATTTGAAATTGAGGCAATTTTCTAAACAAGTCATCATTTTCTGTGTTTTTAAAAAGGTATGCAGCTTTTTAATTTATTCCATAAGCCGTGAGTGAGCCAATCACTACCTGCCAGGGCTGCTGAGTGATTGTGCTGAGCACAAGAAATAAAAAGAATGAATAGAAAGACATGGCCGCTCTCTACATATCACAATTCAGTCATTAAGGAAAAAGCATCCGGAAAAGCTTAACTGAATTAGTAACACAAACTACACCCAGAAAACTTGATTTTAAAGGAACCACCAAATAGTAGCATTAAACGGCCCAGATCATCATGTCCATCGCCTTCTTTTTTTTACTGGTGAGGAAAGTATTCTCAGAGAGAAAACGCTAATTAGTGGCTACGAAACTACAAGAAATGGTGTAACCCACTTCTGACAGGCATCATTACCCTCTGACAAGCATCATTACCAGCTCTCACAGTGCTGAGAACTGAGGAACCCTGCAGAAACCTCTTCATTTGTAAACCCCTCTAGCCCCACATCTAAGAAGAAAACAGCAGTCAGAATTAGTCCCAATAATCCAAACGGGGTCTTCTCTCTCAGGGCTTCCGCTTCCTTGGAGTCAAATGCTTGCCCCCATCCCCAAATATATCCTCTCCTACCTACCCTCCCTGTAAATATTATTCCAACGCTCGCAGCCCCCCGCTCCTCCCCGCTTTCCCGAGCCCCCCAGCACTCTCGGTCTAGGCACTGCTCACGCCTTTGCTGCTCCGACCCAGTCGTGCAAGGCAGACAAGAGGCGTGACAGTGAAAGCACGGGTGTAGGTGACACGTGGAAGCCCTGGCTTCTACATCCCATCAGCTACGGGGCCCTAAACAAACCCTCCACCTCCTCGTGGCCTCAGCTTTCTCCATTTGCACGAAAGGAAGAGCTAGACTGGGTAACAGCTCCCCAGTGCCTTCGAATTTCCCGCGTGCAGGATCCAAACCACCCGTGGTGGGGGCATCGGCTTCCAGGGACATCCCAGAGACACGGAGGCCGGGCCTTGCCGAGTCCTCCCAGAACGTGGCCGGACAGTCTGGGGGGGTGGCGAGGCTGGGCGGCCATCGCGGCCCGCGAGGCCACGGCGACTCACGGTGAGCGGCGTTCTCCACGAGCCCGCGCAGCGCCTTCAGGTCCGAGCCCGCTCGCAGGTCCAAATCTGCAAACACCGCCATGCTTGAGTCACGTGACCGCCCTGCGGGATCTGCGCAGGCGCGGGGCCCCGCTCCCCGACGCATGCTGGGATTTGTAGTTTACTCAAGCATTTGGTCCCTCCCTTTAGTCGATTGTCAGTGAAGTTTCTCAGGCATTTGCTTCGCTTTCAAATACCAAATGTAAAAATCAGTGTGTCGAAACCAAAAGCCTCACTTCACTCCTTTGTGTTATCCTGAATGAGAAAGTTTGCTTTCCCCAAGAGGTGTTCACTACTCCTACCATTCCTCCTATTAAACGGTAGAAAGTAATTCTTAGGCAATACAACTAAATAGCATTTATTGAGCTCCTGTAATATCCGAAACTCTTGCTAAGAGTTGGAAATGCTTAAAAAAAAAAAAAAGAAGACATAAATAACCCGTTTTCTTTCCTACCTGTAAAGACCATGCTATTGTTTAAAATAGGCTCATCGGGAAGAGGGGGAAGTTGACCTGAAAACCTCGAAAAAGATTGCCCTAGGGAAGCAAAGGGTCTTTCTTTTCTTTTCTTTTTCCCCCCAAACCGAGCTGGCTGTGACATAGCGCGGGGCTTTCAATTTACAACCACAAGATGGCAGGGGTGGGCCTAGGTGAAGAGGAAGAGAAAGAGAAAGGGTGCGAAATTGGAAAACAGTCATTGAGTATTGTACAGAAGGCCAGCCAATTTGCTAAGTACTTTCCTTACGTATTTCATTTAATTTTCAAAGCGAGTGAGCTAAGTGCTTTTTTTGTATATTTTTTCTCCTTCAACAAATGCATTTTATATCTGCATATTAAGTGAAGAAAAATTGCTCAGACAACTAAAACTTTTCACTGAAGGAAATTTATAAGGAATACATATTGAAGGCAAGAGAAAGAACAGGTCTTAAACACAAAAGCTAGCATTTTCAAACATAATAACTATAAATTCTATTGTTCACTCATACCTTGAGAATATAGCTAAATTATATTTAAAAAACTAAAGTATCTCTAGAATTTTCTATTGCGGCTGATAAGCAAGTAATATATAAAAGCTGTATTGTTTGGAATTTTGACTTGACTAAATTTTTTGGAAATGCTGCTTAAAAATGGTACATCATTAGGAAGTGACTTATTTTTTGTGTATGAATAATTTTAAGAATTTTAAAGTTGTCTTGTCAGAATTGGTAACCATGATCAATTCTACTGGGATCAATGTTAACTGAAGACTTATACAACATAAACACGATGTGGCAAGATTCTGGCCAATTTATTGTATTATTAACTAGAAATGACTTTGAGCTCAAAACCTAAAAACTATATAAATAATAGCCATGGTAATTAAGCATGCCTCACACGTAGTTCATATTCCAGTAGTCGATGCTGAGGGAATTTTGAACTGCCGAGAGTACTCTTACTAAGCTTTTCATGAAGTTCTCTCTGTGAAATTTGTATTGAGGAATGCCCTCTAGGGGGCGTGTATGTACCACTTATATTCCAGAATAGGAAGTACAAAAGACTGAGTTATAAAATAAATATATGTTCTTGGATCTATCTGTTCTCTGTTCATCTTTTTAAAAAACTTACATTTAAAGATTATATTTCTTTTGTAAAGGGAATCAAATTTTTCTAAATGGAAGAAACCAAAGAAAAAAGGCACATTTTAATAGTTAGGGATAATGTAAATAAAAGTAGCATAATTAAAAGGCACATGTATCTAAATTAAAACTCACAATTCACTTTAGGCTGAGTAATTGTTTAAAATCATGAATGACTCTTGGTTATAGGCCATTATTCTACACTACTCCTCTTCCCCCTCCCCCCAACAAATGTTAACAAAACTCTTAGTAGTATGTAGCAGGAATAAGAAAACATACCTCCTTTGGGAAGTTCACAGCCTAATAGGGAAGACAGTCATGTAAATGGAAAGCATAATGCAGCACTAGGTGCTATAATAAAGATTTGAAAAAATGTGCATTAAGAGTCTGGAAACGATTATATTAACTATGGTGAGAAGAATTGTCACAGAGGAGATAATTCCTGTTTGTTGGACTCTTTTATCCGAAGTAGGCCATCCCAGAATTTCTGTTGACCGATTTCAGTCTAAGATGTGTGTTCTGTTTCTATACTACTGCTCTGTAGCCGACTGGCAGCCACAGGGTCATGTTCGGGTGTTTAGACACAATAATCTTTGCACTAATTTTCCTAGACTTTTCTCATCCAATTCTGGGGTCTTTTCTCACACACAATTAGTTTAGTTGAGTGAGGCAATGGGAGGGTTAAAAAGTGAGCATCTAAACATTTTTGAGAAGTAAAAACTAGTCCTATAGGAAGTCAGCTACATCGTCATTGGAAATTATTGGAACCCCAGTCAGCATGACATTAGTTTGCTTAACTGACTAGTGAGTTATTGATTCCTATGGCATAAAAAGCTTTATTTTACCTGTGCTTTTTAAGTAAATCTATATTGTCAGAGTATGCTGGTGTATGGGAAAAGAAACTCTCTTATGCGTATGTCCTATAGATAGAAATGTGTGGTTTTCTATAGACATGATTAAGCACATGCATTTGGATGGGCTAGACGAGTACTTGGGATAAAAAAGAGCTTATAGAAAGCAGTTCCTGTTGTAGGTTATGCTCTTCTGTACTCCCCCAGAGCACTTTTGAGAGGATTGCCTGTTGGGAGATTACATCACAAAACTGTAATTCTCAGGTGCCCTCATTGACAATTTAATGAGAATGTGGGTTATACATAATGCGAGTCTAGACAAGGTTTGGTACTTTTAAAAGCATCAGCTATTTTTTAAATGAAACAAACAAAAGGGAGAAAATCTAAAAACATGGTTTGATTTAGATGCCAGTATGTCTCTATCTCCAGGGTAAGTGCCAAAGAGGGGGTATGTGGGTGGGGGCTGCAGGTAGGGGGTGATGGTGAAGGAAACAACACCTTTATATGGATTTTAAATCACCGGGAAGCCAAGGGCAGAACAAATAAAAAAATTCAGATGAATGTTTAGGTATTTTATGAGTACTTTTTGTGAAGCTGTTATTTTTAGCTTTTTATTTTCAGAGAAAATTGTGGAAAAGCATACACAAGATTTTAGCATTTTTATGAAGATAGGACTATTTGTTAGTCAAAGTTAGAGGGAAAGGAAAGAATTCCAGATTGTTCTGTCAGGATTTTGGAATAATACAATGATAGATGAAATTCAAACTCAGCATGAGCAAGGTAATGCTGCAGATGCTGAGATTTTCAATAACTATGTTTATACATTGTGACAGCTTATAAATTAAATCCTAGCACTCTTAGGAAATACACCCAGCCATCACCAGGGATAATAGAATAGAGGTGATTGCTCTATAAAAAGGGGAGTTTGAACCTGATGCTATATGGAAATGGAAAAGGAAGTAAATGTGAAAGTAGAATTTTTATGCATATTTGGTGAGTTTGTATGTCCTGCAATCAGAATACAAAAGCAAAACAACATCAGAAGTTGCTTTGAAATATAAGTGGGTTGGGTAAATGCTGGTAAGAGTGCAGGTGAAAAATTATATAGAATGTAGATTCAATTAAAAATGCATCTATTGCCTTTTAAGTTCTTTGTATAATTAATTAATGTGGAACATTATTTATTTATTTTAAATATGTTTTCATTGATTTCAGAAAGGGGAAGAAAAAGAGAGAGAGAAACATCAATGAGAGAGAATCATTAATTGGCTGCTTCCGGCACGCTCCAAACTTTAGCATGTGCCTTGACCCAGAATTGAACCGTGACCTCCTGGTACATAGGTCAGTGCTCAACCACTGAGCCACGTCGGCCTGTCTGGAATATTATTTAAAAGAGACAAGCTGACCTGATTATTCCAGCGGGGGGGGGGGGGGATGAGAAAAGTCAAAAGTATTTTGTAAAATTTATTACCATGGGAATTTTAAGAGGCCTTGAGACAATTCCAAACCTCAAAACCAAAAAATGAAGACATTTCAATGCAGGCATGAACGATCATGAACAAGTCATTAAACTTCTGCTGGAAATAGGTCTCTATTTCCCTCTCTGTATTGGACAGTCAACAAATGTTTTTTTTTTTTTTTAAATATCTTTATTATTTTATTTATTTATTTAATATATATTTATTGAGTTTTTACAGAGAGGAAGAGAGAGGGATAGAGAGTTAGAAACATTGATGAGAGAGAAACATCCATCAGCTGCCTCTTGCACACCTCCTACTGGGTATATGCCAGTAACCAAGAGTACATGCCCTTGACTGGAATCAAACCTGGGACCTTTCAGTCTGCAGGCTGAAGCTCTATCCACTGAGCCAAACCGGTTTCAGCAACAAATGGTTTCTTAAATGGCTTTTGACTACAAACTAGTTTTCTTTTGTCTGAAAGGATGTTTAATATTAACATAACCAAGGTTGAAGAAATTTCCTCATCCATCTTCTTAAATATTCAATAGTATTGCTTTGTGGCTTACATATTATCATCTACTCTTCCTCTGACTCAATATATTGATCTCCTTATCCCAGGCAGAGGAGAGCCCCTGACATTTTCATTAATATCGAGAGAGCTGTGGACATTGTCCACCTTTTAAGGATTTTTCCTACGTAATTTTTTTAAAAAAATGTATTACCCTTTGATGGCAATAGCAAATGTGTTTCCTTATCTGGATGAATAGAGCTAATACCTACATTGAAGAATGAGCGTATTATTCAGCATTCAGATCAATACATTTTGAGGTTTGTTCTTTTCATTTACGATCCGCTAGGGCCTAACTAGAAAAGAAAGATTTAATTATTTTAAGAGTCTTAAAACTAAAGAAATCACCGCTGGCTTCCAATACAACCTTGAAACAAAATGACGTAAGTCTCAGGAATAATAAAAATCAGCCATTCTTGACAGGGTTTGAGTCCCAAGGGGATTTTCGGCCATAGGCACTAAATCAACATACTCCTCCAGGATTCTTCTGAAGAACATTGTAACAGGCCATGCCTTCGTCTATGTGCCACATTTCCAGGATGTCCTGGGAACATTAACCCTCCTTTCAACAGATGAGGCTTTGAAGTCTGAAGCTAAAAAATAGCAGGGTCTATTTTCATGGCTAAAAGGCCAGCTTTCTAGACACCTGGAGGGTGCTGTGACCTGAAGGCATCTTTCCCTCGTTCTCCCCCCCCCCTCCCGCTTCTTTTTCTGAGGTTCCACCACCACCACCCCCCCATTCGGGGCTCCCTTCTTTTGCATCACTTGCTCTCTCCCATAAGGGGTCAAAAATAGGAAACGGAAGTATCTATTTGTTGCTTGGTGTAGTGCTTGAAAATGCTTTTTTTAATTAAAGGGTCGGGGGGATGGGGGGAAAAGATTCCTCTCCAGATTCTTAATTTTGCATCGAGTCCGCATGCCCGCGGGCTGCACAGGCGGGTGGTTTACAGCCCAGAGCAGGTGCAGGTGCGTCCAGGGGGTCCGAGCCTCCCTCGGCCAGGACCCGCGGGCCGGCCCGCTAGGGATCCCGGGAGGCGCGGGAGGCGCCACCCCCGCCCAGTGCGGAGGCGCGGCGGCGGCGCGGCGGCCCCTGCCCGGTGCGGGGGGGGGAAGCCCGGTCCCGGGTCCGAGAGGCGAGGGCAGCTCGGCGGCGGCGGGGACGCGGCGCGGCTGCCGCAGGGGAGCGGCGGCGGCGGGCGCGAGGGGCGGGGCGCCCTCCGCAACTTGTGCCGCTGCCTCCCCGGCGCTCTCCGCCGAGCCGCGCGGCGGCTGCGGGCTGCGGGCTGCGGGCTGCGGGCTGCGGGCGGAGCGGCCAGCCGATCGCGGTCCGCCCGCACGAGCACCCGCGCGCCCCGGGCGTCCGTCGGGCGCCTCCCGCGCCTCCCCGCAGGGAGTCCCCGCGGCCCCGCGCTCCCGCCTGGTCCGCTGCAGCGGCTGGGGGGCCCGGGGCGTGCGGGGCCGCGAGGCCGAGCCGGGCGCCCCCCAGCGGCGGGCGCGGGGCCCCCATGGCTGGGCCGGGCGGAGCGGAACCGGCGAGGAGGTGAAGCCCCTGCACCGGGAGCCGGGAGCGCGTGGCGGCGGGGCGCCGGCTCCATGGGCAGCGGCGGCGGCGCACGGCGGCACGATGATGGACGTTAACAGCAGCGGCCGCCCGGACCTGTACGGGCACCTCCGCTCCGTCCTGCTGCCCGAGGTGGGGCTGCCGGACCTGAGCCCCGACGGCGGCGCCGGCCGCCTGGCGAGCTCCTCCTGGGCGCCGCACCTGCTGCGCGGGGCCCCCGCGGGGACCGCCAGCCCCGTGCCCACCTGGGACGTGCCCCCGGACAATGCGTCCTCCGCCGGCTGCGGGGAGCAGATCAACTACGGCAGAGCCGAGAAAGTTGTCATCGGCTCCATCCTGACGCTCATCACGCTGCTGACGATCGCGGGCAACTGCCTGGTAGTGATCTCCGTGTGCTTCGTCAAGAAGCTCCGCCAGCCCTCCAACTACCTGATCGTGTCCCTGGCGCTGGCCGACCTCTCGGTGGCCGTGGCGGTCATGCCCTTCGTCAGCGTCACCGACCTCATCGGGGGCAAGTGGATCTTCGGCCACTTCTTCTGCAACGTCTTCATCGCCATGGACGTCATGTGCTGCACGGCCTCGATCATGACCCTGTGCGTGATCAGCATCGACAGGTAAGGGCTGGACCGCCCCGTCCCGATCCCGGGGTCCGGCTGGCTGGGAGGATGTGCTTGCAGGTAGCTCGCCTTTCCTGAGAGGGTGGTGGGAAGCCAGATGTCACGGTGGGATGAAGGGGGTGCGCTTAACACATCAACCCCCCACACACATCAGCCCTACCCAAGACAACATCCGTGAGAGCAAAGCCTTTGTTCACTTTTTTTTTTTTTTTTTAAGAGCTGGACACGTTCACCAATTTACTCTAGGGAAGATTTTTAAGACCCAAGTTAAGAGTATTTCAAGCATTAGCAGTTCCACCAGGGGGTCCCTTGTCTTGGTTTTCAGAAGGACTGTGGAGCTTGGCAAACCCCTTGCTGAGAGCCCTAAAGAGACAATGCTTACTTTAAGAAATCAGAGAAGCCACTTTGCTTCCCTGAAGGTAGGAGTTATTCCTCAGGCCAATGAAAAGATCTAGGGTGGTCCCAGAACTGGGGGGGGGGGGGGGGGGGGGGGCGTGGTGGTGGTGGTGGTGGTGTCTTACACCTCGGCGTTACACCCACTATGATCGCTGATCCTGAATATTATTCTTTTGGAAGTCTGCTTTCTGTGTTTGGCAACGCTGTTTGCATCTTCTAGGCTTACTGACTGGAGCTTAACTCCCCGTCTGAGTGGTTGGTTCTAGCCTTTTCATCATACCCACTGGGAATCTTCTCTTGAGAATTCCCACACTGGAGGAGTAATTGAAACATAGGCTGGCCATCTATCAGGGGGTGCTGGGGGAAAAATTTCTGCCTACAGTATCAGATTGGACTAGGAGATCCCAGGATGTCTTCAGACTCCAGGGTTAACAGGATTCTGCAATGGAGCTAGTCTCTGGCCCTAGAAGTACTGTGCAATTGACAACGTGACGTGTGATCCCAATACTTTTTGGCCAGAGAACAACTCTTTGCTTCTCTTGAAATGGAAATATTAAACCTTAATATTCACACTCAGAATTATGCTGGTATTTTAAAACCAGCACAGAACTGGTATTCGGTTGTGTTTAACGATACAGAGAAGTGGTTGCTTACTTTCTTTGGGGACCTACAGCACCTTTAAATATGTAGACCTTTCGGCGTAGGAGAAATAATTGATGCCGCCACACTTAAAATTGACAGTACCTCAAAGGATGGTCTAGCCTGAAACAGATTTTTCCTCCTTTTCCTCCCTGTAAACACTGCTATTTGTGGTTTGTTGGTATTTAATATGTTCTGCTATTTTACTGCTTGGCCAGGGTTTATAATAACTTAATAAAGAGAATGATTGGAAAGGGGGTGTTTTCAAGGAAAAAAAACACATATAGTGTAGCTGCATTTAGTTAAATGGCCAGATTATTATTATTTTTTAATGGATCTTGCCCTTTTATATGTTAGGAGCTTCTAACAGCAAATAATTATTTTTAGTAGTAGAAGATGAAATGCATATATGAGAATATTAGCTCCAAACTTGACAGCTGAAGTTCTGAATGACTGTAGTTCAGCATAGAAAAAACATATGCATTTACAGTCTGGTTGTGGCAACAGGAACGAGGAAAGCGCACTCAACATATATAGTAAGTATAAACATGAATTATAAGCGCAACAATCTGACTGCTCGGCCAACCAAAGCTGTGCTTCTTGCATGAATGGAGCCCTTTTAAAAGGAACTTAGTGGAGTAAAGCAGATAATTCATACTGCAAGTAATGCATTTGTAATCTTTTTTTTCATTTCATAATTGATAAATGATAATGAACACGGTACGCCAACCATCTCCTAAGACATCCAGTGCTTCTGTTCTTGTTTTTTTTCTTTTTAAATATATTTTTATTGATTTTTTACAGAGAGGAAGAGAGAGGGATAGAGAGTTAGAAACATCGATGAGAGAGAAACATCGATCAGCTGCCTCTTACACACCCCCTACTGAGGATGTGCCCACAACCAAGGTACATGCCCTTGACCGGAATCGAACCTGGGACCTTTCAGTCCGCAGACCAACGCTCTATCCACTGAGCCAAACCGGTTTCGGCTACTGCTTCTGTTCTGGGCACATTTACGTTTGGCTGGGACCACCCTGAGCTAAGGTTTTCTTCACTCAGTGTGCAGTGTGATTTACTGGCAACAGGAATATCTTGAATACAGAGAAGAGGTTAATCCTTGTCAAGAGATTCTAATCTGTTCATCTGCTATGTCCTTATGATGCCACAAATTGTGGTAATAAAGGGATATAGATTCTGTCTCTTCATTTCCCATAAGAATTGTGCCATTGGTAATTTTTACTATTTTAGAAGATGAACATGTTGTTTCTTTACACAATATGAAGAATTGATTACATGGGAGACACAGATTGCTTTTCTTCTAAGAACACACAGAACTAAAAATGAGAAGAAGGAAAATGCATTTGCATCTAAGGTGAATTATTTTTGAAAATACTTTTTTCCCCCAGTTATATTGAAGAATATGACTGATATATTAAAATAAGGAAATAGGAAAGAAATTTAATCTTCATTCACGTATTCATTCTGAGTATCTACTATAGGGTATGCTGTGTTTTATGCAGCATAATCAGAGATGAATAATAATATTTCTGCTTTGGGGCTCATACTGTTGTCAGAGAAATTGGGGTGTCTTGTTCCCCACTGGGTGCTGGGGGTGGGGGTCCTTATAATATCTTGAGAAAAAGAATTTTCTGAGTCTCACATGGGAGGATGGGGAATTTTTATTTGTGTGGAATTACATTTCTGTCTCTAAAGTTCCAATTCCTTTAGTTCAATCAGAGAAGAAGTGTAGCTGGGGTCTCAGTAGAGCTAGAAGCAAAGCCAGTGTCCAGCGTTTTCTTTCCATGAGGAATCCAGGTCCAGTTCAGCATCAGGCTAGCAGCAGCCTATTAGTTCATTGTGTGTGGGGTCCACATGGCGGTGGGCCATATGGGCAAATACAGGACAGTGCTGTGAGCAATAAGAGTGCCAGGAGCATAAGAGGAATCAAGAGCATCAGAGACTGAGTTCCTTTGTGTAAGGGATTAAATATCCCAAATTTCACACCCTTGCAGTGGCTGTGTCCATTTTGACCAATGACCTGTTCCCAGGTGTGACTGACAGACAAGTATCTTTCCAAGGTCACCCTGACTTATTGTTATTGCACATGCACCCATCCTTCTTCCTGTCCAGTCCCTTCCCCCAGGGACCTGCAGGCAACAGACTGACCCGTGGCTCCTTGGGAGAGTGTAAAGCTTTAGCTTCTTGGTGAAGCTGCTCTGATGACATGCCAATAGTATTTGGCCTTCCCATTGCTCCTTTCCTGTTATGAATAACTAGGTTAATTACAGTGGTATCGACACTACATTGTGAGAGTTTGGATTTCTGTTGGGCATTTAACCTTTGGTTATTGGGATCTTTGATTTTTCTTAACCACTCCCTACCATACTGGGATGCTTTTCCAATGCCATTTCATGCCATGTTTCTCCACAGGTTTCAACACTTCCCATATCCACCCTTTTCGGATAATGACTTATGGTCATTGAAAAAGTAGCAGCCATTGGATGGGGAACTCCCTTTTCTTTCCACCGCCAGCCAACCAACCGTTGCCCTTTTATTTCGCTCTAGTTAAAAAGCAAGAAGACATTCTGTCCCAGCAAAGAACAAACCGCCAGGACGTCACATCCCATCCCCTCTCACCTTCTCAAAAACCTTGTTCTTTCCTTGATTTCTCATCTCTTCTTTGTCTTTATTGTTTCCTCTCAAGTAGATCAAGCTTGATTTACTATTTTTAAGAACTCTTTCTTTGGCCTCACTTGTCACAACTCTTTCTTTGGTCCACTTCACAGTTAAACTGTGCCCACAACCTCTCTTTATTTCCTTACTCCTCAGATAGATGAGTTTGACACTCAACAGTTCTATAGTTCAACAGTTCCCTTTTTAGGATGCCTTTAGAAATAGAAATCAAATTACCTTATAAGGAACAGTTTAAAAACATGCAAAAACAGTTCTATATATCATTTAGGTGAGCTTATATTAGAGTGAAAGTGGAAAGGAATGGTGAACACCAAGTTTTGGAGAGTGGTTTATCACTGGTGGAGGTGGTAGAGGTGCAGTTAAGGAGTAGCACACATATCAACTACACTGAGTGGCCAGATTTTTATGATCTCTGAACGCATAATAATCTGGCCACTCAGTGTGTGTGTTAGAGGCCCAGTGCATGAATTCGTGCATGGGTGAGTCTGGCAGCCTGGCCAGGGGGAGGGGCATGGACAATTGGCCAGCCTCCTGGTCAAGGGGACAATTTGCATATTAGCCTTTTATTATATAGGATTTTTCCATTGCTCTTTATATTTTCCTATATTACCATGCTTTTATCTAGGATTATTTTCTTCTGCCCAATGGGACTTTCATTAGCATTTAAAAAAAGTGAGTGCTGGTGACAAATCTCAATTTTTACTTATCTGAAAATGTCTTATTTTTCCATTATTTTTGACTGATGCTTTTTCAGCACTTTAAAAAGTTCCACTGTCTTTAAGCTTCCATCATTTCTGTTGCAAAGTCAGCCATTAGTCAACATTATTATTATTATTATCATTACTCCTTTGAAGAGAATGTGTCTTTTTTCCTCTAGCTGCTTTTAGGATTTTTTCTTCATCTTTAGTTTTTATCAGTTTTTCTGTGATGTTCCTAGGTTTGTCATTATTGATGTTTTGTTGTTGTTGTTTTGCTGTCAGTTCTGCAGGGATTTTTAATAATTTTTGTATTTGTGTATTGATATTGCTAATGACTTGCTATTATCTCTTTAAATACTTTTACTGTTCCATTCGTTCTTATTCTGTTCCATTCATTCTTATTCTGTCCTCAAATTTACATAATGTAAACCTTTTTATTTGATTGCACATGTCTTACATTCTTATTTTTCATTTAGCATTTTCTCTGGGCTTAATTTAAAAAATATATATATTTATTGATTTTTTTACAGAGAGGAAGGGAGAGGGTTAGGAAGTTAGAACCATCGATGA